TTTAGGGGGTGGGTTAGGGGTGGTAGGAACCGTCAATTTTACGAACGGAGCACCGGAGGTGCCCCAAAAACCCAGTGGCACCGCTAGTGGCACCGTTCTCCGGTGTCACTAGAACCGGGCCGTTATTATTATTATTATTATTATTATTTTGATTTCATGATTTGGTACAAGTATTTTCTTGTTTACGTTGCGTTTGAAAGAATCCACCTAAGTTGCTTTTGAGTGAAGAAAAAGAAATTAAAAGCTGATCACTGGTTTTGCTTTTACAATACTCAGAATTCAGAAATGGTCTCCTTGTAATTTTTACACTTTATCCAAATCTCTATCCAACAAGCTTATAATCCATAATAAACAAACCAGACCTACTGAATTTCACACAAGAGTAGGGTTTGGGGACAAGATGTAAGTAGACCCTGTCTCTCAAGGTAGTAGAGAGAGTGTTTCCAAAAGGACCTTTGAGTCTTGACAAACAACACTCATATGCCAACCTACAGTGACAAGTGATGTTTTCTTGTATTTTGTATCTCATTTTAGTTGGGTCAGCCTTTCATCTGGTTAAAAGTAGTAGAATTTGAAAGAAATTATCCCTAAATTGTTTGGGGAAAGATGCATTCAAAAAATGATGTGAACTAGGAGGGGTGGGAATTAATGCATTCATATGCCAGTAAGTTTTAAAATTTGTAGTAAATTTCTTCTTACACAGAAAACCCATTTTACTGAACTTGGGATGGGCCGGGTGGAAGGAGGTGAGCGTGAAGAAGTTTCTTTCTAGGTTGGAATTCTTTGAGTCCGTCTAGCATTAAGTTTGCTGTAATGGATTCAAAATTGAAAATTCCTTTATTTTTCTAAGTATCATATTGATACCAGTATGTCGATACACCTAACTCAAATCACTTCTGTTTTTTAAAGCATATAAATCCTTTTCTATCTTCTCTGCCAACCTGCTAATTTCATGTATGCAGATATCTGGTACAGCAATGGTGCTGGATGAGATCATCAACCACGTCCAATTCCTACAACGACAAGTTGAGGTTAGACTTTCGGGATCCATCAAATGTCATAATGGTTTAAAAACAAGGCTTCCTTTAAAAACTCAAAAATGCAATTAACAGTGTTACACAAAAGGATGAAATATGACGTGGTTTATTTTACTTTACACTTGTTTGGTTTGGTTTTCCTGATTGGATGCCTTTGGGTACAGTTCTTGTCAATGAGCCTTGCTGCTGTCAACTCGAGAATCAGTTTTAACATAGAAAATCTATTTGCTGCCGAAGTAAGTATAATGAAGCCCTTGAGTCATGATTACTATATATGCTTGTTAGACTTCAATATTAGATCAAATAGTCTACTCAATGAACTTGGAGACTCCCAATGTCTTTTAGTTGGAGCCTGGAGGTGTCATTCTAAAGATCTTTCCTGGACGGAGATAGATACACAATACTCCCATCACCTTTAGTAGAAAATTATAGAGTATTATTATGGAGTGATAATGCTCCACACAAGTAACTTACAGAGCCTCACAAGTAACTTACGGAGTATTATTTAGCTATATGGACTTATATCTTTATTCTTTAATAAACATTAATTATTACGGAGTACCCCGCAGTATTTAAACCCACCATTTTCTGTCCATCCCCTGACAATGACCCCCTCCATCCAGCTCATAACTCCCTCTACGCGCATGCCGGTGACCCCCCACCCCTCCCCCCCAAAGAAAACCTGCCGTCCCGTCCAGCCCGTGATCTTAACGGGCGATATCAATGCCCCATTTAGATTAGAAGCATGGCAAAGGATGTGTGTGTGTGTACTTTACATTTTTTTCTAAAGGAAAGAAGTACCTTTTTTTTGGACAAACAAAAAAGAAAATTTGGAACTTTTTTTTATGGGATTGAGGGAGTATTTAAGAGTAATGAAATAAGAAGTTGCTTGTGCGACTTGACCCCATGGAGGTGTTGGGGTTGGACTGCGTTTGTTGTTGGGAAAAACTTGTTATTTTGCAATTTGTATCTGCTATTGTGATCTGCTTTTCTGCAAATGTGATTCATAATAGTTGCTTGTTTTCACTGATATGATTTGAGTGATTCCTATATGATTTATCTTTTATTATAGCATCATTTAAGCTAATCAAATGCTCTGTGTGAACTCTTATGGTATTGTCGAAATTTGCAGTCTGAGAATAACTTTGCGTGCATGTTCCCGCCATCGATGTGTCTTGAGGAACAACAGGACAATGGGATCAGGCAACCTTATCAACATCAATTGCATTTTGATGGATTTTCTCAACCTGTGTGGAGTAGAGAAGATGAAAACTCGCTCTTAACTTACCACTCAACTAATCCAGACGCACACCAATGTAGGGTTCGTTTGGCAACATTTTTTTTGTTTTACCTTTTATATTTTCAATTTTCAAGATTTTTTCTAAAGAAATTTTTTTAAAACCGTTTTATAAACAATGCCTTTATTGAGAACACATTTTCGAAAACAAAAATTTCAGTACATTTTCTTGTTTCCCAAACGACACAGTACGTACCGACTACATCTTAGATGCAAATCTCAAGATTATTATCCTATTTGTACAGCTTCTTTGCATGGCAATCATCAGCTAAAGATGGAGTCATGAAGGGGAAAAGGGGAAATCTTTTTTTTGGTGCAGCAAGCCTAGGCATGTATCTATGATGTATAGCAGTAGTCTTTATGTAGCGTGGAAGAAGAGGTGGCAGCCACGACAATCTGGATATCGGGTTTTTTGGTCTGTTCACAAACAAACATGGCATTTGGAGATCACCAGAACAGATAGGTCACTGCTTTCTAATCTTAACTACTTATACCTAGCTTTATGGATGTGTATAATATATAGTACTCCGTAATATATATACGGAGTATATATATACGGGAATCGCTAAATCCAACCCACATTTGGCTATATCCACTCTCTTTTTTTTTGTGTCTAATAGACAAGTTTACCCTTAATTCTTGACATTGGGAAAGGAAGAAGTGAAAGACAAAAGTGCCCATTTCTTGAAAATAGAGTGGATTTAGCCAATTAAGGTGTGGATCTAGCATCATTTTATATATACTCCCTGGCATTTTTTTGAGTTCTATAACTTTGGGTGCACCTCAATCTGATATATATTGTGTATGATTAAATGAGTGATTGAATCTTGTTTGGAAATTTTGCAAGCCCAAATTATTTGATACATTTTCGTATGTGGAAACTCACACAAGCACTAGTCTTTTCTGAAATCTCTTATGGGTCGTGAGGTTACCCAATTAAATAATCTATGAAAACATACAAGATTGAACAAGTAATTAAATAATCTATGAAAACATACAAGATTGAACAAGTAAAACCCACAAGAAGATGGTATAGCGCTAAACACAGAAGCAAATGACAGACAATGTGTTATATCACACACATGTATTGTCTCTTAGGAGCATATAAGAAGCAATTTTCAACTTTAATAAAGAGGATGATTATGCTGAGCATTCCCTCCCTCAGACACGATTAGATAGTCACTAAGAAGAGTAAGATTTGATTGCAGATTAGTTCTAAAAAATAAAGTATGCAAAGGCTTCATCCTTAACATAGTTGCCCTAACATAGTTATCAGAAATTGAACTTGGATTTTACTCCTTGACACTTCGTACGAAGTCACTCGACCAACGTACCAAATTCGCTGAACATAGTTTAATTCATTGGAACCAGCTAATTCAACATCTATTACTCTATTTGTAAAGGTTTTACTTCCTTTCTTGGTTAATCAAAGAGGGAAATAGGGAATAGCCCAATGTTTTAAAAAGATGAAAGAATTATAACTAGAACAGAAACATGATTTATATACCAAAGTAATATTTGTAATATTTTATACCAAAATAGAATTTATGATGTCAATAAGAGTATAAAATGCCAACTTACAATGTTAAATTGTGACATTGTATAGTTTCAACTTCCAATGCTCCTATTTAAAGGATAAAACATTGGTCTTATAATGATACCAAATTTAATTTTTAGTTTTATTTAGATAAAAGCTTTAAAAATATATTAAGAGAGCTTTTAGCTTCATGTAAGTCAAGAGCAAAAATTAAATTCTATTATTCCAACAAATTATCTATTTACTCTATTTTTTCAAATTTAATAATGATAACAATACTAACAATTTAAATATTTTTTTGACAATAACTTTGTCACTTCACTTGCTTATTCATTTGTCTCACGAATTCTTATTCTTTGACAGGACGAGTAATTCAAATTTCAATCGTAAAATCTTAAATGATGCAAAGGAGACAATGTCTCCCTATTCAAAGTCCCAACCCCCTCCAACAATGTCCCTATTGCATCTCTCAACTCCGCATGGATAGCTTAGTTGGTTAAAGGAGAAGATGACAAGTTCAAAGATCCTAGGATCAAATCGCGGCTACATCGATGCGAGAATCTTATTTTTTGTCATAGCTTTTTGTGTGTTACAAGTACATAACGACCTCTCTAAAGATCAAACTAAAATTATATCAAGATTTAAACGTCTCACAATCCTATTTGATCGAGATGTGAGGCGTCCTGGTTTGGCGTTCGTTCAACAGTTCACCCTATTATGTCCCTCAAACCTAGTTGGTAAAAATTGGGGATCAAAGTTTAAAAAAATCAAAATCACTTTGAGATAGAAATTGAAGTTGGGTGTGTAAAAAATAGGCTACAACAATCATTATTTTGGCCAACCTCAAGAGATAAAGGGAATATGGGATGAGTTTGATGATTGAAGCACTTCCATTCCATTGCAACTTTGCAAGTGACCAAACAAGAGAGAACAATGCAATGGCGCCCATTCTTACTTTGGGTCCTTCTATCCCTAACCCTCCAATCATATCCGGCCACGTCACTGCAGTCTATCCTCAATGGGCCCCGTCCTCCCCTCTCCGTCACCGTGACCCAATTCGGAGCCGCCGGCGACGGCATCCGCTACGACACCGTCGCGATACAGAAGGCGATCGACTCGTGCTCCGCCGCCGGAGTCCGTCCTTGCCGCGTCATCTTCCCGCCGGGGAAGTACTTGACCGCGACGATCCGCCTGAAGTCGGGAGTCGTTCTGGAAATCACGAGAAACGCGACGATCCTGGGAGGCACGAGGCGGAGTGACTACCCGGAGGAGCGGAGGCAGTGGTACGTGGTGCTGGCGGAGGGGGCGGAGGAGGTCGGGATCACCGGCGGAGGGGAGATCAACGGGCAAGGACTGAAATTCGTGAGGAGATTCGACGACCGGAAGAACGTGATGGTGAGCTGGAACGAGAGTGGGGCGGCGTGTTTGGGAGACGAATGCCGGCCCCGGCTTGTGGGATTCATCGGCTGTAGAAATGTCAAGATCTGGAATATCAGGCTTATCCAGCCTGCTTATTGGTGGTAAGAGCATTCACAATGGAATGTCACACATGTGGCATAGTTTAACCAATTAAAAATTGTACAGTCATTTTTTAAATTTTTAACATAATTTAGAAAATAAAAAATAGAGCATGACAGCCTTGAGGTTGCCTCACTTACCGTGAGAGAACGCACAAGGAACGCGAGGCAATTGCTGAGTTGGTGCAAGGTAGCTCTGATCTGGCACCGTGGCACCTAAAATGGCACGCCGTTGCCAGTGCTCTAGCTATCTCCTCCGGTACTCTAAAATTTTTTAGAGTAAATTATATAAAAGGTCCCCAGTTATAGGCCGTTTTACATATTTAGTCCCTACATATCAAATATTACTAATTTAGTCCCCAATTATTATATTTATTTCCACGAATGGTCCTTTGTTAACATTTCCGTTTAGAACGTGGACAAAATTGCATATTCATACTTCTCTCTCATCAATTAAGCTTCCTCCATTTTCTCATACTCTTTTCGAAACTCGTCACTGAGTTTGAATCTCTTAAACCCAAAACTTAAATGACCGTTCCTCCAGTTAGACAAACAATTGAGAGAAGAGTGATGATTTTGGTTTAGGGTTCAAAGCTAGAAACTCAGCGACTTTGAGAAAGGTGTGCAAGGGAGGAGGGAAGCTTAATTGAGGAGAGAAAGGAGTGTGAATTTATAATTTTACCCACGTTTTTAACGAAAATGTTAACAAAGGACCATACGTGGAAATAAATATAATTATTGGGGACTAAATTAGTAATATTTGATATGTATGGACTAAATATGTAAAACGATCTATAACTGGGACCTTTTATGGAATTTACTCAATTTTTCAACTTTTCAATGAAACATTTTTATTACGTCTAAATGGACATTATTGTCTTTTACTTTTCTTAAATCAAACCAAGCATACCCTAACTACGTTCTATGTCCTATCATTTTGACATTTTCTGAGCCTATATTTGTTTCACCTCAATCAAATTTTTATAGCTTTTTCTTCCAAAAATTAAAACAGAAAATGTTTTACAGGACGGTGGAAGTATTATTCATTTCATTTGCTATATTTATAGAGTTAATAAGTTATCATTCATTTTTCCTTTTTTAGCAAGGAGGAATCATGGTCCATTATTTAAGTAAGGTTTTGATTATTAAGGTTTGCCTTTTAAATAATAAATTTTTGAATAATGTATTGCCTCTGTCGTCCTGAAAAAAAACATTCCTATTTGTTTTTTACAAAATTAAATAAAAGATGTATTGTGTAAGTTTGTGCAAAATAAAAAGTGATATTTGTCTTGGAACATCTAAGTAAACAAAATATAACGTTTATTTTGGGACAAAGAATTAAATTACCTTTAGAAAAGTTATTATTCGACCACTTGAAAACAATTTCAATATTTGCTCATGTGTTTCAAAAAAATGATCTGATGACATATTTGACTTTATTCCGTTCATACCTAATAACACGTTTGAGTTTTTTTAAGTGCTATTGACTTTATTACAAGGTAGTATCTGTTGATACTATTCTCAACCTAATAATGCGAGCTAGGGGAGAATTTCACGTTTGAGTTTCTTTAAACACTTGAATTTCCCATACATCCTAACATGCATTGTTTATCTCTAGTTTGCATTTAGTGCAAAGTGAGGGGATATCCATCCAAGACATTGCAATACATGGGGATTTCAATACCCCAAACAACGACGGGATAGATATAGAGGACTCAAACAACACAGCCATCGCAAGGTGCCACATCGACACCGGAGACGACGCCATCTGCCCCAAGTCATCCAATGGCCTTGTCTATAACCTCACTGTCACAAACTGCTGGATCCGAACAAAGTCCTCTGCTATAAAGCTTGGGAGTGCCAGTTCTTACTCTTTTAGGAACTTCACCTTTGACAATATCACCATTGTTGAGTCCCATAGAGGCCTCGCTCTCCAGATTCGAGACGGAGGTACGTGTTTGAGTTTAAAATCTTTTTTAAAGACTTCCGGATATTATGTGAGGTTGTGTTCCATTCACTTGACTGGATTCAATCTAATATTTTGAAGATATGATATGATATGATATGATTAGATCTGATCTGGTCTAATCTAATCTGATTGTAATTATATTTAAAGTTGTTTCCAATATGATATCATTGGATCTGATCTAATTTTAATGGAAATAAATAATAAGATGAAAAAATAAGTTGAACGAGACGTATCCTAAGTTTTTTAGATTAAGCTAAATTAAAAGATATAAAAGCAAAAAAGAAAGTCTTTTTGGAATGAATTAATTGGCTGCCAAATTGGCAGTCCGATGGCTGGGTGGGGGATTTAGAGCTTCTTCTCTTTGATGTAAATAGAACTCATTTGATTGTAGTTTTCTTTAAAGCTGGCATTTGATTTAATTTGATTTCATTTCATTTCATTTCAATAAAAATAACAAAAACTCCGTAATTATTTAAAACAAGTTGAAAAGAACAAGCTATAAAAACCATCAATTTTATGAAGAAAGCACAAGTGTAGTTGAAATTATTGTCATATTATGGCAACAAATAAAATAACAAGAGTGTATTCTTCTTGCAATTATACCTTAACAACTTTTGCAGGCAATGTTAGTGACATAACCTTCTCAAACATAAACATAACCACCAGATACTACGACCCATCATGGTGGGGAAGGGCGGAGCCGATCTACGTCACCGCCTGCCGGAGGGTGGCGGCGGCAGCAGCAGTTCAAGAGCGCGCCGGCTTCATTTCTGGCGTCCGATTCCTGAACATCACCGCAACATCCGAGAACGGGGTGTTCTTGTCCGGCTCCGGCGGGGCTCTGCTGAGCAATCTGAAGTTCAGCAACGTGAGCCTCACGTTCAAAAGGTGGACGAATCACTCCGGCGGGTTGCTGGATTACCGGCCGGGATGCAGGGGGCTCGTCCGCCACAGAACCGCCGGGTTCATGATGGAGCACATTGATGGGCTGGAGATGGAGAACGTGTTCGTGAGGTGGGCTTTGGGTCCTGCTCTGAAATGGAATAATCCATTGGATTTCAGACCTGCAACTGTGAATAACATCTCTTTGCTCAGTTTCTCCTCAAAGCCATACCAAGAATGAAGATGATAGTCATGATACATAACATGACCTCAAGCTATGCACAGATCACACAGACTGTTATTGTCGACGTGTTAGGGTTATCCTAGCACGGTTTTTATTCAAAATTGTGTAAAATGATTGATGGATTAAGACTACCTTTACATAGCCTTTTCAAAACGATAACACTAAATGCTTTCATTGTATAATTTTATTTTTCTTACTAGGGTGATTGAAATCGGGAAACTGTTGCTCTCTATTTTGTTATTTGTTGCAGGCATTTTTGTCTGCATTATTACAATGCCTAAACACGAAGCTTATTCCACATGTGTTCTAGCGTCTGGAAATAAGCTTCTCTCCATGAGTTCTTCAAGACTAAAGTTATGCAAACTGCCGAGAATCCCACAGCATATCCTGAAGCTAAAAACACATAAAACCAATCATCGTCTTCATCTTCATCCCCATTCTCCTCTCTGTTTCCATGGACTTCACGGCTGCAATCTCGCGTTAATGGCGGCCCACACAGATGGTTACCCACGAAGCCCTCGCTGTCAAAGCCCAGAAGCTGAGTGCTTTTGGGTATTTTCCCAGATAGATTGTTGAAAGACAGGTCCAAATGATTCAGAGAAGATAAACTGGAGAAGCCACTGGGAATGTGACCGGACAAAACGTTTCTTGACAAATCGAGTGATTCCAATTGCTTCATGTCTCCAAAACTGTCTGGGATCAAACCGGACAGATGATTTCTTGACAGGTTTAGTGATCTCAATTCCACTAGCCTTGTGATTCCATCTGGAATGTCTCCGGCGAGGTCGTTGCCGGAGAGGTCTATGCTGGTCACCAATGAGAGGATGGTGTCATACTGCAATTCACTACCCTTTGTGGATACTAATGCACTGTCAATGAAGAAGGCGACTGAATAAGAAGAGTATTCGTATTTATCTAAGCTCCGCTTTGTGACCATTGCAGTGAAGTTACCAACGCATGAAGGTATGGCACCGGAGAATCTGTTGCTGGAGAGATCCAGTATCTGGAGGGAGCTCAGGCGGCAGATCTCGGTCGGAATGTGGCCGGTCATCTTGTTTGAGCCTAAAATGAGGAACTTCAAATTGACCAGTCTCTTCCCCATCCATGGCAGTATGTTCCCGTGGATATCGTTACGGGAGAGCTCGACCTTCACCAGCTCCGCGCAGTTCTGCAATGGAGGAGGTATGTTCCCTGACAATCTGTTCCCGTATAGATTCAACGATTGTAGGTTTCGGAGAAATCCGATCGAATTCGGAATGCTTCCTATGAATGCGTTGTTTCCTAGATTCAAATACTTCAATGATCGCCATTTCATCCAGCAATCTGGTAGTTCTCCGGTCAACTGGTTTCCTCCCAGATGGAGAATCTCCACCTCGTAGGTCTCGTCGGAGGAGGTGTTGCAGAGAAATTGACGCGTGTCTCCGGACAGAGAGTTGCTAGAGAAATCGATCTCTTTCATCGCGCGAGAGATTCGAGGAAGAGGACCGGAGAACTGATTGGAGCTCAGATACATAGATTCAGCCGGGAGATCAATTTCGCTTGGGATCTGGCCGTATAGATGGTTATGAGACAAGTTCAAAACCCTAGTTTTCCAAAACCAGCTTGGAACGCCGCCGGAGATTCCCGTATTCGATAGATCTAGTTCCGAGATGGTGCTCTTCTGCGTCTCGAGCCATGGCGGAACCCTAGATCCGGGGCCCGATTGTAACTTCCACGACCCTAGTCTGAGGGTGGTGAGCCGGAAGGGCGGGACCCAAGTCGCGCTCACGTTCAACGTCAAGTGGTTGCCGGAGGCGCTAAAGGTCTTCAGCTTCGTGAGATTGGCGAAGTGACTCTCCGTCACCGTCCCCTCCAGCAGCATATTGTTGTCGGCGTAAAGATCTTCTAGATTCGAGAGCCGGCCGAAGCTCTCGGGTAGACTCCCGGTGAACCTGTTCCCGTACAAGCTCATCTCCAGCAAGGACGTCAGCTTACCCAGACTGGCCGGAATCTCGCCGGAAAACAGGTTCCCGCCGAAATGGAGATGCTGCATCCCCGCAAAATCTCCGAATCTCTCCGGGAGGTGGCCGGAGAGCCGGTTACCCCGCACACAGAGGAGTTTCATGGACGCTAAGAAGCAGTCCGACATATCCCCAAACGAATCCGATACATCTCCTTCAAAATCATTGAAGGTCAGAAACAGAAACTGCAACCCACACATTCGAGAGACCTCTTTTGGGATTTTCCCAGACAGTCGGTTCCCGAAGAAATCCAGGGTGTTAAGAGAGGTCAGATTGGCTATGGCATTGGAGATTGTACCCTGCAGGAGGCTGTAACTGAAGTGGACGAACTCCAAGTCCTTGCAGAGGTAAAGCCAGTCTGGAATGGTGGAATTGAAATGGTTCTTGGAGAGATCAATGTACTGGAGCTTCGTTGCATTCGTGATCTCTGGGATTGGTCCCTTGAAATTGTTGAAACTCAGATCAAGATGAAGAAGATTCCTGAGCTGTAAAACCCATCCTGGAATGGCAAGATTTTCGAATCTGTTGTGGGAGAGATCGAAGAACTTCAAAGACTCACTGAGGTTAGTGCTAAGACCAGCACCATCTCCAATCGAATCCAAACTGCAAAACGAGAGATGCAAATCTTCCAGAGAGGGGAGGCCGGCGTTGATCGCCTGAAACCAGTCCCCGGCTTTGCTTAGGTTCACATGATTCAGGTTGAGGTACCCCAACCGAGAGAGCCCGGACAACCAGCGAAGGCTATCTGCTGTGACATCCTCGGAGCCATCAAAGTCCAGAGTGTGTAAACTTGAAAGATTCCCTATGGTGTGCGGAATCTCTCCCCGGAATCCAGCTCCAGACATGTTCAGATACTCCAGGCACGCAATTGAGCCGATGAATGAAGGGATTGTTACCCCAAAGTTGTTGCCGCTCAGGTCGAGATGCGTCAAGTGCTTGAGGTTTCTCAGAGACGGGTTCAGGTCACCGCTTAAATTGTAGTTTTGGAGATGGAGCTCATGAACATGTATGGTGGCGGCGGTGGTGGCAGAGATGCAAACCACGCCTTTCCATGTGCAACAATTGACTTCGAGATTCCATGAAGAAATATGGTGGTTTGGATCTCTCAAAGATTGCCTTAGCTTCACAAGTGATTGTTTTTCTATATCTGGACAATCTCCATTGCAACAGACTGATTGGAGGATTATTGAGACATAAAGCAGAAAATGAAGAGCGAAGAAGGTTGGTTTTGGCTTACTCATCCTTTTGGTTTTAATATTTTACAGTCTAAAGGACACATAAAAATCAACCATACTTCCATTAACGCAAATATATACCTGCATATACTACCTCCACAGTGAAGTTCTTCTTTACATTTTAATTAAATTTGAAAAGGAAAAAAAAATGAAGTTTTGTGACTAAAATTTACTCTTGCCTTGAAAAAATTATGACAGTTAAAGTTCTGATAAAATACTTTGGTAGTATTTACCCTTAATATATTACGTATTACTCGGTTTTACTTCGGTAATGTATTTGGGAATTTTGACGAAAGAATTACTTTGTATAAAACTGATTATTTCAATGTGGTTAAATTTTTGTGATATTTGTTGGAATGGATATTTTACCGTTAGATTTTTGTGATCTTCCAAAGATTACCGGAAACACTATAGTATGTGATTACTCATTATAAAAATGTTAAATAGTCAGAACATATAATTAATCTAATTCGAAATTTGGGGCCTAAATGTCCAAAAATGGCAAAAAATAAAAAGTCAACATTGGCTGCTCTCATAGTTGTCCAATACTCAGAAGTCAACAGTAGTAGTACTCTATATTCTATAGTTGAAGTGGTTGACTAAGCCAACTTGGTTTGTTGAAGAAAAATAAAAGGATCAAATGCACCTCATGGCTTGAAGAGAGACGATAATTGTACGTGTATATGTGTGTTTATGCAAGGCATGAGGTCAATTATGGAGTCAAGCATATTTTTAAAAAATAATTTGCATTACAAAAGAATGATTCAAGATACTAACATTAATTGAAAATGCCGTTCCCGACCTTTAACTACTTTTCAATAAAAGTTAACAGCCATCCACTGCACACAAATATATTCTCTAGCCTTGAAGGGTGTTACAGGGGAAGTTTGAGTGTCCGCTGTGATAGAACTTGTGATGTGGTACGAGCTACTAAATTGGGCCATGAAATACTTGAGTTGAATCATAATAAAAGATTGAATTTCATTGATTACTTAGCTCAATTCAAGAGCTTATATATCGATTGCTTTTCTCATCAATTTCTGGCGTGGATATACTTAACCTGTTATATGGATGGTTTGTGAAAGAGCCCGTTCTTAATGTGTTGTTGGGGTGTCCCTATTCACCAGATGACTAATTTGTTTGCTTTGATTTGGTTCCAGTAAAAATAAATTATATGGAGTATATATTAAGAATAAGTTGAAGAGAACAAAACTCTGAAAGTTTATGTGTTTACCTTAAAAGAAGATCCTTCATAAAATAAAGCGAGCAATGAGAAGATCTTCTCCACCTTTTAGTAGGGAGTACATATGTGTGCACCTAGCCCCTCCGGGCCTTACTCTCAAAGTCTCTATATCGTACATTTGAATATGTTGTGTTTCTCGTACATTTACTCGAATACTCATTCTCAAGTAATAAAGTACTCATTTCATATTTTTATTTATTTTAATATTTATTCCAAGCATTTATATAGTAATTAAAAATATGCTCATTTAAGAAATAAGAAGTTTATAAAATTTAAGATTCTTCGGCAAATTATGGCAAAGATGTAGGCTTTAATTTTGTTTACGGCTCTCCTAAGACCGCGCATAGTTAGCATGAGCTTTTCCTCTACCTCAGGGTAGAGTAGATATAGATTGATTCTTCTCACGACTTTATTACTCACTCACTTTAAAAATATGAATGTATATTTACGAATAACAAGAATAACACTATTCATTTGAACTAAAATAAAGTTAATTGTACAATTAATATTAACAAATATGCGAAACTAGTATCCTCCTATTCATAAATGAGTATTTGCCAATTACGTACAGTTTGTTTACTTCTTTGTCCTACCGCTTATTGATTTATGAATGATAAATAGTGTTAACTTGTAAGCTACTTATAAGATTAATATTATTTTGTGAAGGTAAAATTACTTAAATAATGTATGATAGATTTGTTAATAACTTGGTAAAAACAGAGAAACACATCATCAGCTCACTTAAAATTTAAATATAACTCATGAACATTTTTTAATAGCTTAGGAGATATTTCTATGTGTTGATGTTTATTGACTTATTACTCATAAACAATTTTTAACTTATATATTGTTAATAATTAAATATTTTTCTTTGATGTAAAATGACTTAAATGTCAGCATATTCATTTGGACATATTCATAAATAATTAGGGATAATTATTTACAAAATTATCCCTAAAAAAAGAAAAAAAAATTCTTAAAAATGATTAAGGCCTACTTCTCTTTTGTCCGTAAACTTCTGTGCTGCTAAATAGACCCGTTGTTGTTTGTAATGAGTAGAAATTTATGTGTTTAAAGAAACCTAAATAACATTGCCGGCGGTGAAATGTAAAGAATGCTCAAGAACACTGCATCCTTCAATGGAAGGAGTATTGCTAAACAGTTTCTTTCTTCAATCTGGAATTTCCCGACATTTATTAACCTCCAATTTCAAACCTCCTCTTCTTCCCCGCCAAATTCATCGATTCTTGAAGCTCAATGCGCACAGGGCAACCTAAGGGGAGCCTTGTTGGAGATGGGAAAACGAGGGGCGGAAATGGTTTTCAAGCACTACAATGCTCTGCTCAACGAGTGTATAAATCAAAGGGCATTACGGGAAGGCCAAAGGACTCATGCCCACATGATCAAGACTCTTTATCTCCCTTCGGTTTTCCTGAGGACGAGGCTGATTGTGTTCTATGTGAAATGCGAGGTCTTGGTGGATGCCCGATGGGTGTTCGATGAAATGCCTGAGAGGAATGTTGTGGCTTGGACTGCAATGGTTTCTGCATATGCCCAGAGAGGCCACTTCTTTGAAGCTCTCAGTCTTTTTGTTCAGATGTTGAGATCAGGTAACTTCTTGCGCGATTAGAGCACATAGCTAACTGAGCAAGCAGCAAGCCCAGTTTGATCACTTGTGATTCAGACTTCAGTTGCATTGGTGTTATTTTTTGAGAATATCTAAACTGTTAATGAATGAATTTTTTGAGCCCACTTTGAATTATTTGGAAAGAGTCACCATAGAAGTGATTTGAATATTTACTCCAATCAGTCATTTGAGCCAGATAAACCTTGAAAAAAAATATGCACTACTATAAGCTGATCAGTTTTGTCCAGGGTTTTTGGAGCAAGGTGTTATCTTTCTCTTGTTTTCCTATGTGTCTTGTTTTTTTACTATGATGAGGAGATTAAACATTGCAGGAACTGAACCAAATGAGTTCACTTTTGCAACAGTGCTTGCTTCTTGCGCGGGCACCTCTGGTCTCAAATCCGGGCGTCAAATCCACGGGCTACTGATCAGGAGTGGTTTTGACTCCCAACTGCATGTTGGAAGTTCACTTCTTGATATGTACGCCAAATCTGGTAAAATACCCGAAGCTCGTCTTGTCTTTGAAAGTCTGCCCGAAAGGGACGTTGTTTCTTGCGCTGCTATAATTTCTGGATGTGCTCAGCAGGGGCATTATGGGGATGCAGTAGAAATATTCCGCGGATTACAAAGAGAAGGGATGTCATCTAACTATGTCACTTATACTAGCCTTTTGAATGCATTGTCTGGACTTGCTGCAATGGAACACGGCAGGCAAGTCCACGGCCATGTCATTCGGACCAAATTGCCCTTCTATGTCGTCCTTCAGAATTCCCTGATTGACATGTACTCCAAGTGCGGAAACCTCGCTTACTCAAGAAGGGTATTTGACAGAATGCCCGAAAGAAGCGTCAGCACTTGGAACACTATGCTGGTTGGGTACAGTAAGCACGGGATGGGAAGGGAAGCGGTTGACCTTTTCGAAACAATGAGGGGCGAAAAGGTAATTTCCCCGGACAGCGTCACGTATTTGGCCGTGTTAACGGGCTGCAGCCACGGTGGAATGGAGGAGAAAGGACTCGGGATCTTCAACGAGATGGTCAGCTCGGGAAACAAAGCCGACATTCGGATGGAGCACTACGGGTGTGTCGTGGACATGCTCGGGCGGTCGGGTCAGGTAGAACGGGCTTACCGGTTTGTTCAAGAGATGCCTTTCGAACCAAACGGGTCAGTCTTGGGCTCCCTTTTGGGCGCGTGCCGGTTTCACGCGGACCCCACGATAGGCGAGATCGTAGGGAACCGGCTCATGGAAATGGAGCCGGAACGCGGCGGGAACTACGTCATTCTTTCGAACATATTCGCGTCCGCCGGGCGGTGGGCGGACGCGAGGAGGGTGAGGAAGATGATGGAGGAGAAGGCGGTGGTGAAGGAGCCGGGTACGAGTTGGGTAGAGTGAAAAGGTGTTAACCATGGTTAGCTTAGCCATGGAATGCTGATTATACACTTGGCCTCAAGAATATATGGCTTGGGTGTGTTTCTTGGTGTTTGGGATGCAATGGTGAAGGGAAACATGACAGGTTTGGGGGAAACTGATGCTTGGCCTAAGGGGATGTTTGGTTGGGCAAGAAAGTTTAATTCTTTGAAGAGACCTCATGACCATTGGATACTGAGGAACTGAGAATGAGCCAAACACTATCTAACCCTTTCAATATGACATAATTTAAAGTTGAATACTAATCTGTTCTAAAACGTTCTTTTCAGTTAGTATTCATACGGTCAAACTTTAATCATTTTCTTTACCTATTTTTGTAAGTTATTTGATAAAATAATATGGTTTTGTCACTTCTTGTTTTGTAGAAGTTTTGATGTAGTTCTTAAATATACGGAATATAAATTTTACTATATTTTTTAACTTTATATCTACAATCAAATAAATTAAATTAAAAATAAGGTCGGTGAAACCTCATTTATAGAAATGAAAAGAACATTTTAGGACGGAGAGAGTACTTCGTAGAGGGCATAAGTAGGATATCTGTTCTTGTTCATACTCCGTATGTAAAATATAAATCTTTTCACATATTTTTTATGAGTTCATAGTTATTTTTTTATTTCTTATAAGGCACAATACATAAAACCATTTTACGTGTGAAGATCTATAAAATGAGTATAAACTTAAGGATCACAAAAAACGTTTACAATGACATATTAAAATATTAAATTTTAATAAGTAAATTAAATTTTCAAAGTTTAAAATGAGTACATTAAAATTTTAAAGTTATTTTTGTTCGAATTTGATTTTAATAAAATTAAGTAATAAGACGAAAAATAAATTGGACGGAAGAAGCCTAATATAGGCTTCGGTTCATTTTTTTAATGAGAAATTTACCTAAATAGGACTAAAACATAATGACTTTCCCAATATAGGACCATATGTTTTTATTTCCCAATGTAAGACTTTTGGTCATTATTCAAGTAAATGTCTAGCATTACTGGACATTATTACTCCCACGAGGTCATTATTTAGTCCTATTTAGAGAATAAAAAAGTTTAAATCCTACATTAGGAAAGTCATTATGTTTTAATCCTATTTAGTGCAAATTTCACTTTTTTAATTAGATAATTGTTTAAAGTTTTTTTGAAAGTAAAAACTGAAAATATAATTAACGGATTAAACAAATTTAAGACTGATTTTTCATTTTTGATGAGTTAATAATTTTCATAATGACTTTCCTAATGTAGGATTAAACGGAATTCCATTTGTGCATCTCCACCATTCAGCAAAAATGCCTTCGGCGAAACCCTTCGCGACCGCCGCAGGGATGCTGAGAGCCAGATCGAGCTCCGGCATACGAGCTCGAGGAGATCACGGCCCGAATCCGTTCCTCACTCCCGGCCACCAGGAGCGACCGAATGGATACCTCTTCAGCCGTACGCCGCCGCCGCCGGGGCAATCCCGAAAGTGGGAGGACTGGGAGCTCCCTTGCTACATCACCAGCTTTCTCACCATCGTCATCCTCGGCGTCGGCCTCAACGCCAAGCCCGATCTCACTATCGAGACCTGGGCCCACAAGGAAGCCGTCAAAAGGCTCGAGCTCGAGTCCTCTTCCCAATCCGACTGAATCGTCTATCGGGGTATGCTCTTGTTACGCCCTCTTCTGGAATTTATCAAATTAGGGTTACGTGAGAGAAGGTTGGGAGGTTTTCTGTTGATAATTTCTGGTGCAGTGGGTGAGAAATAAGCGTTTTCTGTTCATTGACTCATAGTTTGAATGGTTAAACTTGAACTTCGTTTCACAACAACTTCAATTTGCTGCTATGTTTAACTTGATGATATTGTGCTTCATTGAGGATATGCTTTCCTCGATATCTATACTCGTATGAAACTTTGAATTTTCCAATATATCTTGTGTTGGTTCTTGTGATTATACAAGAAGCTTAATTTAGATTTCCCAGTATCAGTTTTATCAATGTCGGATGGCCGAAGTTCCATTGGATCCTTTCCTATGAAATGATTGTCAGTCTTTGTTCGAGTTTTGTCAAATTTAGTTCAGCTGCTCTACTCTTTCCAAATTCCTTCTGGTTTTCCTAGGAATGCAGCAGAAGTATATCTGCAGTAAAAGTTATTTTGAAGTGGTTTCCATTTTAGAGCACTGGTAATGGTTATGAAGCGCGGGCTTCAAACTTTCTCTCTCTGCCACGTCAGCTTTAACTTACACCCAAAATTCACTGGAAATGGGTTTAAAGCCCCGGGGCTTCAAAACTGGGCTTCAAACCTTCATTTTTTACATTTTTAAATATACATCTTCTAAAATTAAATTAATAAAATGTAATTAATTTATTATTTAATTAAATTAAAACACGAATAATAAAAAATACATTCATTAAATAAAAAAAAGCGTCAATAATTTAAAAAACAATACATTAATAAAAAAAACTAAGGTAAATTATATTTCTCCTTGATCTCTCTCATTCTTTGCTCATAGACCATTCGTTCAAACTCCGACAACGTCCCGGGGTCGGTTTGCATGACTTTCATCTCAGCCTCCTGCTCCTTTAGCTTCAACTCCTTCTCCTTTAGCTTCAACCTCTCTTGTTCTTGGAGATTGAACGCCCGAAGTTGTTCAATCATTGCCCGGCTAATTTCGTCGCGGGAAGAAGCGGAAATAGAGGCGGACCCTCCCGAACCCGAGGCAATGGATTTTGCCTTCTTTCTTCCGATCGGCCGTGGAATGGGGTCCTCGTCATCGAAATCCGCAACGTTGATGGGAGAGATTTGATCGCTAGAACCGATAGTCTCGTCGACCTCAACCTCGGCGTCGACGGTGGATATTTTCCGGAACGATCCGCCGTCGGGATTGTTGAGTTGTTGCCACTTCGGGGAACGACTCAAAATCCTCCAAAGATCGATGGGCACCTTGCCTTGGTTCCCGTCGCCTTGATACCGGGTCGTGGCAAGCCGGAGAACATCGACGTCGTTCGTGCCGCTCCTCCGGGACCGGGAGCATCCCTCGTAAACTCCCATAAACTTTCGGACTTTTTTGTTGATGTGGCTCCATTTGGAAGTGAGTTGGTCCCGGGTTCGGTAGGAGCCGTCCTTCTTCATCGCCGTGAAGAACTTCTCCTCGATACGATCCCACATCGCATCCTTCGTTTGCTCCGTACCTTTAAAAATGTATTACACAATTTTTTTAGACACCATTAAATATAATATATAAAAATAAAAACATAAATATATTACAAAAAATAAATTTTTAACCAATGATAGGATGCTCGGAGACGTCAACCCAAGCNGACGCCAATATGCACTCCTCCTCCGGCGTCCACTTTTGGATTGACCGTGCCGCCTCGGTCAACGTGCTTTTGGCTTTGTGGCTTTTCCGGCGTGTACTTTTTTTCGATCCGGACGGTTCCGGTTGAGTCTCCGGAACCGAATCTCGGTCGACGTATCCCGACTGTTGCGTCTCGTACATCGGCGGTCGATCGCCCAACTCTTGGTAATACCACATCGCGGCGTCGACGAGCGGGAGATCGTCGGGAAAGAAGCCGGAGCCGGAAGGATTCATGTTGAAAATTGGGAGCGGGGGTTTGAATTTTGAAATTTAAAAATAAGAAAGAAGAAGAGATTGAAGATAAGGTGTGAGAGATTGGTTGGGGGGTTGAATTTATAGGAATTTTTTTTTTTTTTTTGAAATGTGGGCTGCAACGGCTAAAAAAGCCGTTAGGAGGGAGGGGAGAAGACTCACGCCGCGTCATTCGTTTGACGCAGGGCTCCTCACGCCCCTTTAACGCCGGCGGGGGGCGGTGTTTCACGCCCCGTAACGCTGGTGGGCGTGAGGAGTATACCCAGTGCTCTTACTGGCATGTAGTTATATGGGTAGGTTTCCAGATTTCTTGCCCATTCAACACAATAAAAACACAATCAGACTGATGAATAAAGTCATCTGAAGTTGGTTTTTGTTATTCAACAAGAAGATTATGTAAATCGCCCATTGTCGCTTTAAAGATTACGTGTCTCCAGAAAAGCATGTGCTCGTAGGATTTTTGAGTGCTTTGAAGGGTAACCGTATATCATGGTATACATTGCTCCGTATTATATTTTATAAAAAGTTAATAATTGACACAATAAGATGTGATAATACAATATTTAAATCATTCTTTATTTATTTTTAAAAACATCCAATTTATTAAGAGATCGGATACGCCATCCAACTCTTACCATCCAAATCCTCCCTCCGAACATACGCTCAGGAGCAGTTGTTTGGAGTAATGCGAGATTAACTTCGTAATCTTAGGAAGGTATGTTAGATTACCTCATTTGGTTCAGGGGCTATGTGAGATCACCTTGTTATATTTGGGCTTTTGGATTATGCGACATTAACCTCATTTAGGAAAATGAGGTAATGTTGGGGAGAATGTGATTGCTTGGATTTCTTTAGGTATTGTAAGATCACTTTGTGAATGTTATATTTCTCTCTTGAATATTGTGTTGTTGTCTCTGCTTGAAACATATTACTAGGGAGTATTAGATTTGTTTTTGCTTAACCAAACACATTAGGTAATTTTGCATTCTTGTAGTCTCGCATTGCCTAGGAATACATAGTTAATCTTATATTCAAGTTATCCCTTATCCCACATTACATTCAGAAAGGCAGCCACATTGCCAAGGCAATCTTACATTCTGTGAATCAAATTCCCCCTTGGAGTTTTATCCCATTGAGATCCCATGGGATTCTACTCTGTAAGTTTATTATGTTTTCTCATTACTGTAGTATATCTGCAGTAAAAGTTACCAGCATTTTGAATTTGTTTCCATTTCACTGGGCTGTAGTCATGATATGGGTAGTTTTCCATACCCATTCAAAATATATTACTTTTACCCTTTGAGATGCAAAAATGTTTAGTTTTTATCATCAATTTCATCGAGTTTTCTTTAGTACCCCATTCCCCATCTTTAACATGTTAGTGTTGAGGAAGATGATGTGATCTAGTTGCCACTCGGCCTTTGACCGTGCAACTCCCCCGTAACGATTTGGCTATTTACGTCTAACATATTATGGCGAAGCTAGATAACAATAGATCAGCTAGAAGCTCGGGGTTATAAAAAAAAGGGGAAGTCGTTTTCAAAAATAATATATCGGTCATCTTTGACGAAAGATTTTTGTGGGTGAGACATTTAAATTACTATATTGTCCTTCTCCAGCCGTCCCCACCTTCTTAACTCTATCATTTCTCCTGCATGCAATTTGTTTGGTTTAAGAAGGTTGTGATGGTTTGAGAATGATGGTAACTCTGGTTGATAAACTCAATCCCTCCCTTCTCTAGTGTGATCTCTAAACCTTTCCATTATTGCTAATTTAATCTAACCTTTCAAGACTAGAAGTGAATCACATTTTAAGAGGATGTGCAGCGGCGAGGCATTTCCTCGCTCGCTGCGCCACATCAGCATCCTCGGCAATTTGCCTCGCGTGGCTTCAGCCTCCCTCCACGCCAAGCATGTGAGGCGCGAGGCATCTTCAATTTTTTTTAGAAGAAATAATTTTTTTTAAAAAAAGAGTACATCTATATAAAAAAAGATAAATGAAATAATTTTTAATAATTAAAATGCATTAAAAAATCAGAAAAATTGACAAAAACAATGACTTGCCACTGCACGAGATACCTCTCTACTCACTTGCCACATGCTGACTGGATTGTCTTTTATTGGTTGAAATGTGTCACGTCAACGTGTGGCATTCCATTTCGTTACTTGCCATTGCACGTGCTCTAACAAAGTTGTTCTTCCTATGTTACATTCCTCTTTTTTATCCCTCTGTCCCAAACAAATTTTTTTATCTTGGGGTGTTTGCATGACACAAAACTGAACCCCACATTGTTTACTTGCTCAAGCTTTACATGTATTACAACGACAATCCAGTTGAATCCACAAAAGTAGGGTCTGGAAAGGGTGTGTAGACTTTTATCCCTACTCAAAAGTAGAGAGGTTGTTTTTAAAAAGACCTCCGACTCAAGCATTACTTCATTATTAAAAAAACACAGACAATTTAAAGTAATGCTATTTTCCATCATATTCCAGAGCCAAAAATAGTGATTGTTTGGCTCTAGCGGAGATGATGGAAAAAAAGGTGTTTTGCAATGGAGCTTTTTGTTGCTGGCAATTTGTATAAATGATACCGAGTACTTCCTTCATCCTAGTGTGTTTATATTGCTTGATTTATTGTTCCCATATAAAATCTATATTTAATTGATGATCAAAATATATAGTAGCCAACATCCATCTTTTCAGGGCCTTTTTTAAAGGAATACTTCCTCCATCCAAAAAAGAGTATTGCAGTTACTATTTTGGTCTTTCAATAAATTTGTTTGCTTATTTGTTTTTGTGGATCATTTGATAAAATAAACTATTCTTGTCGCATTTTGTTTTGTAGAACTTATGATATACTTTTGAATGATATGCTTTGTACTTTTTATTTTTCCAATCAATTTGTAAATAAAATAGTTTTAAAAAAAGAGTACTCCAGTATATTTATTCGAATTTTTGTAAACAATTTGAGACATAATACTATAGAAGTAAGGCGAGGGCGATGACCACCTTTGACCAAGCCCATGCTGGACAGAATATTTTTTTAAATAATGTTGGGAATTGGGATCTCTTCCATGCCTTTAGTCTTTTAGAGCATTGACAATGGCAAGTCAAAAAATGGAATGTCACACGGTGACGTAGAACATTCCAACTAATGAAAAAGAGTACAATCATCGTGTGACAAGTGAATGGAGTGGCATGTCATGTAGTGACAAGTAATTGTTGTTTACACTTTTGTGACATATTTTAATTATAAATTTTTTTTACTTAACTTTTTTTCATAAAAATATATGCACTTCATTTTTTAAAAAAAACATTTTTTATACAAATAAAAAAATAAAAAAAATAAGAAAACAAAAGAGAAGAATGGCTCGCCCAAGCCATGCCTTGCATGGAAGAATACACAAGCCACGCATGGCAAAATGGATAAATTGGTGATGTGGCATGGCGTAGCAAGCATTTGCCTTGCCACTGCCAATGCTCTTACGGAGTACTTATTAGCAAAATCGAGATGTATGCCCATCCATCTCACATACTAAAACAAACAACATTTTAAGAGAAAATATGATTTTTTTCTCATTTTGACTTGACGCACGAAAGTTAACAAAAATTAAAAAATATAAAGATTTTTCATTTTACCTTTTGATGTGATGAAATAAGGTTAATAATGTAGATACAAAGTGAGGGTATATTGGCACATTCATTAAAAGTTTTTTGCCAGGAAATGGAAAATAAATTTTTGGACGGCCTAAAAAGGAAAATGCGAAAGAAATTAACAAATGGAAGAAATAAAAAATATGATGGACATTTTCTTAGGATCTTAAGCCTGTTGGGACAATAGTTTGTACGGACAACAATCTTACCGTTAAGGTATAGAAAATGTGCCTCAATATATCTTATGTTTTCAAAATTTATTCTTAAAATCTTTGTAATTTCAAAATTTTGCACCAGTCTCTTTTTATCATTTTTCAGTCATCATCCGGCGAAGAGAGAGACATTAATGCTTATTTTCCAAACCACATAGGGCAAGAGAGCTCATTTCTTATTTTTTGTTTATTTTTTTGTGTTTATTCTTTTTTAACTCTTTTTCCATCTCTTTGTAGTTTTTTTAAATTTCTTTTCTAATTTTTTTTATAATGTTTTAAAATTTTAAAAATTGTTTGTGTTTCAAATAAAAGATAAAAAATTGACATGTACTCCATCCATCTCAAATTAAAAAGTTTCAACCTTTTGTTTTCTAAAAATAAAAAAATAGAATTTCAAAAAAGAAAATCCAGAATGAAAACATGGGAAAAAAATGAAAAATTTGAAACATACAAAAAAGAATTTTCAGAACGTCTAAAAAACTCTTTAGGATCGGGAAGTCCAAAAAACAATATTCATTTTAATTTTATATTTTATTGTATTTTATATTTTATTTCTCTTTTTTAAAGTCCAAAAAAAAGTTTTATTTTTAAATTTTGGAAAAAACAATAAAAAAAGATGCAATATATGTTAATTACAGAGTATAATTTATTTCAAACAGATATAATTTCAAATTTTAAGAACATTACAAAAGAAATTTAAAAAAAATTAAAAGAAACCTTTATAGATAAAAGAAACAAATAAGAAAAAGGGAAAGGAACAAAAAATAAATGAAAATTAGCTGTGAGTATTGGTGCCCCATATAATTTGAAAAATATGCATCAATGCGCTCTTCTTTTCCAAAAAAGGTCGAGAAATAATTAAAGGAGCGTAGGTGCAAGGTTTTGAAACCACTTGAATTTTAAAAGTAAATATTGAAAATAAAGGTGATATTGTTGCTTATTTTTCAAATGAGAGGGGGTGTGAGAGCTATTTTGCCATATTTAGAAAAAGGTCAATTAAACTTTACTCGATGATTGATCAATGGAGATTGGAGAGTGCCTATGGTGTGTGTGTGGACCTCATGATACTCATAATCATTTTTTATCGACGTTGCTAGAAGTTGAATCTAGACATTATCCGTGATCATGCCTTCTATTGACCAATTGCATTACGTTCCTAAATGACAACTTTTTTTATATTAATACTACGCTGAGTAACTCCTACGACAATAACAAACAGTTGGATAAATTTGAAAAATGTGTATAGGCTGTATTGTGAATTTAAGGGTGCTCAAAAAAATATGTGATTTGAAAAATCCACACATGACCCGAATAATCTCATTTGAAAAATGGATATTCAATTCGGTATTTTAATTTTTGGATATTTCGGATCGAATATTCGAAAAAATTGGACCGGATATAAAATAGAAATATAGAATATTATGATTTCGGATGTTATGCGTATATCCAAACTTTGTAAATAAAGTTTAAAAGAGATGATATAGAATAAATTGAGTTCTAAAGTTAGCCCAATTTGACGTGGAAATGTCAAACTTAAGGAATACACTGAAACGAAAATAATACTTTACAATGTTTGAGTATATTCAAAAGAGATAAAAATTAAAATTCTCATACAACTAACTTTTGTCAATTCTACTACTCCCTTAGCTTCGTCGCAAAATATAAACAACAATTACTATTTCGGTTTCTCGATAAATGAATTATAAATTTTTTTTTGTCAATTTTAACGAGGGCGCACGGAAAAAGTCCAAAAATCTACCCCCATTTGAACAGTGGTTTCTGGTTCGGGGTCAAAATCTCCTACTCGCCTCCCCACCTAATCATCATCATCAATCAATCAATCATGCCACAATTAAACAGCTCACTCCTCAACATCACACACCAAAGTGGTAAAGTGGACCGTTTGCAACCGGACGATTTAAATCTTTTTTATAAGTCTTAACATTATGAATAATTTTGTAATTTTGCAAATTAACTTTAATATAAAATTGCAAATAGAGTAATATCCGAATTAGAGTCATGGTGATTAATAGTTATAAAACTGGTCATACTCTATTAAATTCTTAGACGTATCAGAAACATCTTTTTATTCGTACGAGTGAAATATAATTCAATTTACTTTCTTTCTGTCAATTATTTAGATCATTATTTAAACACCCCGGGGAAAGTTCATCTTAAAAGTGGATACGGTTACAATAACGTGGATTTCTAAAGGAAGCCTTTTCCACATTTTCTACCAGTTTTGATTTCCATTAGGTTCTGATTTCGAAAAAACACTTGAATTTTTTTTTTGAGATAAAATGTTACTCGGTACATATCTAACTTCATAGGACAACTATTTGTTTATTTGCAACATTAGTAAATTGAACATAAGCTTAAAAATTATGGTTCCCAAAAATGAAAACCAAAATTAGAACCTTTCATCAACAGTTGTGAGCGACTCCAATTTAAGAACCTAAGGTACCCATTCTATTTCTTAACCAAAATACTTCTTCCGTCCAAAAATTATATTCTCATTCACTATTCATAAAGTCAAACATTATCCACTTTGTTAGTCTATTTTTATTACCCATTTAATAAAATAAAACAATCATGTAACCTCTAGTTTTGAAGATCTTTTAATATAATTTTTTTAATATGTAATTTTTATTTTTTAATTTCAAACTATTTTCTATATAAAATGATTTAAAAATAATTTCAATCAAATATCATAACACGCAACGGAAAGATAATTTTTAAACAGAAAGAGTATTGTGTACGCCTAGTCTACCCCCTTTTTCCTCAAAATGATTAGGGGGCGTGGCATAATTGACTCGACAAGTATTATAACACCTGAGTTTAAGGGTGAACATGGTACGGTATGGTACGGTATTTAGCTCGTACCGATACCGTACCAAATATTTCGGTTCGGTATGGGATTTTACTCTATACCGATCCCGATCCCAAAATATCGGTTCGGGATGGTTCGGTATCGGTTTCGGTACAAATCGGGATAAATATACATACTTATTTTACACATAAAAATTTAGCAACGCCCCTTTATTTTTGAAAATTAAAAATGAATTTAAATAAAAAAAACATGAAAAATTAAAAAAATGAATATTTAAATGCAAGAAATGCGTATCAAAACTTAATTTTTATTTCACAAACTAAAAAAATGAACGACAATAAAGGAGTATTTCGAATTGTTGTGAATACTTTAATGTTCATACACAAAAACTAAACTCAAATAAAAGTATAATTACACATAATAAAACTTGAACCGATTTTTTTTAAAAATTATTACTCCGGGTATTTAGTGAAGGAATATAAAAATATTACTCCGGGGTATTATTTTTTATAATATTTTAGTATATATGTTCGGTTCGGGATTTTCGGTATGGGATGTCACCTCGTACCGTTCCCAAATACCGTACCGACCATTCGGTTTGGTACGGTTCGGTTCCTTCTCGGTACTTTTTCAGTTCGGTATTCTCGATTTTTTCGGAAAATTTCGATATCGGTTCGGTATTTGCTCACCCTCTACCTGAGTTCGATTTGACCTGTTGCAAACTCTACTCTTCCCTGGTATTAAAACTTAAAATTGAATTCAATTTTTTCTTAAATAAATATTCAACCAATTTTGAGGGGCAATGGAACATTTTTTGTTTTTCTCAAAAATGAAATTGGGACTCATCTGAGTCATCATCATCATCATCACTAACATGCTTACTAAACCATGGTTAACAGGCGACCGCCGGTCACTCTCCCCCACCGACAACAACCAATCCCCTTCCCGTTTCTAATCTCTCTCTCTTATTTTTAAATAAATAAATAAATAAATCGCCATTAGCTTTCTTCTCCGCAACAGCCTTCTGCACCACGCCACATTGCTCCCACACTGCATAGTGCATATCACAGAGCTGAGAAGAAATGGCGGAACAAGCTGCTTTCGAAGCTCCTTCTTCCGATTAACTCTCCTTCCTCCTTCGCCTCTGTCTATTTGAAGGAAAAAAACGAAATTTCTCTGTAAGTAAAATCTATTCTAATCATTGTTCATAAAATTCTTTTTTTCGATGCAATTCTTAAACCTCCATTGCTGAGTTTCTGGCTTTCTGCATTTGTTGATAAATTTTTTTCCCTTTCCTTTTTGAGTTCTAGAGATCGGGTTTACCATTGTCACCGGACCAACTGAAGTTAGGAATTGTTCAAACCGGTTGGTTTCTTATAGGTCTAAGAAGTTACGAATATTTATGGAGTGTATGTTTCTTTGAAGAATTGAATTGGATTAATGGAGTGCGGTGGTTGGCGGTTACCCTTTGCTCTCTGTAACCGTTTTATAAACCTCTATCACGCCTCTTTTTACCACTTTCTCTTCTCTCTCAACTTCTTTTTTTCAATTTTATTTTTTCTGAAGTTTACTGATTGGCTTGCCAAAATATACATGCTATGCTCAGTTTGATTTGGGTTTTCAGGTGGTATTGTTACAGAGTATTATTCAGTTTTCTTCTTGTTCATGCTGGGTTGGATCTGGGGCTGGTTGCAATATGATCTTAAAGTGCATGTTTGTTATGATGTTATTCTGGGTATCACTTGTTCTGCATTTGTTAGATTGCTGATATTTGTGTGGGGAATTAATTCGGGCTAGCGTTACATTTTAGTTGGTGAGCATACTGAATGTAGAGTGTTCCAAATAATTTTCCTATATGTGAGCTGCATAGATTATTATATACTTCTTCCGTCGGAAATTAGTTGTTCATTTTCTTATTTTTATTTTTGTCTGGAATTAGTTGTCCATTACCCATACTCGACGAAGGAATTGTGATGAACTGTCTAAAACATCTTTGTTAATGTGTGAGAAATGCATTTGAAGGATTTATTTGACATTTTAAACACATTTTGAGATTTTTTAGAATGCAGACAACTAAATCGAGATGGAGGGAGTATGTAATATGTAGACTGGCCTGAGTCGTCTATAACCGGAGCCTCTGATTTTTTTTGAGCATTTTGAAAAATTATCTTCATTAAAAAATTATTGGTAGGAAGGTAATTTCGTTGATCCCATAATTCATGTTGGTAAAAATTGTCTTTACAAGTGCTTGGTATCATAGCTGCTCTATGGTTTGATTTTATTACCTATTGGAGAAAGAAGAGAAAAAGGAAAGAAAGGCCAGACCAATTTAATTCCAGTGCCATTCATGTGAATACAGAAAGATTGTGCCGGTGTTTATTTAAGTTTTTAGTTTCAGATTCACTATCCTAATCTTACTTTTTGGTTAGTTCATTATTGTTTGAAGAAAAAACTCCGAGTATAAAGAATCTTTGGATGTAAGTGTAGTGCTGTAAATAATTTTGGTGTACACGTGACTGACTCACAATACAATGTTCTCGACTTCTCGCTACTGAAAGTAGAATTTTTAATCTTTCACTTTTTCTATTCTACTTCACTAGGAATCGCAAAAGAAAACTTTTGAAGAGCTCTTGTCCAAGACACTTATATAACCTAAAGCTGACTCGAACCTGAGGTTGTAAAAGGAGTAGTTCCCTAGTGTTGATGCTAAATAAGCCTTTTTGTTGGAAAAGATGTAGTAAAAGACGGGACATGCACGATAAACCTTTTCACTGACATAGGACAATCTTAAAGTCATTGCTTAACTAGCATTTACTTATTTACTTTATTCACCTTTTTTAAACTAATGTTACGATTCACAAATGACATCATATTTGGAAACAGTGAAGGTGGAGCGTGCTAGATACTATACTTATAAAGCTGTCTTGAATGCATGTCATAATGATTATGCTATTTCAGCAGAAGTTACATGCATTATGCGATTTCACATTTGGTATAGTTATCGCTTCAACATTAACTTGGTCGAAGCATGCATTTATGATTTTAGTGTTTCTTTGTTTTCATGGTTCCCTCCTCCCCCACCCAGGGTTATTGCCTCACATTGTTGAAGCATGAGGGAGTCTGAACGGAAACTAGTTCAAAAGAACAATCAAAATAAGCGCGTTTCAAGGCCTGAGAGAAAAGGTCAGAGAGTACCAGAGAAGAATGGTCGCAAAGTCTTGAAAGGGAAAGAAACTGGTATTAAAGCTTCATCTGCTAAACAAGACTCTCACACATTAGTAAGCAATCTAAACACAAGAACAGACCACCATGAAGTTCATGAAACTATTGCTATGCACTATGTGGATGACTTCAATAAGTCTGATGAAACAACTCGAGAGTCAGAACAGCTTGAGATGGTTGACAAGGAGAGTAACAATGATTTTAGTGGTTATTCATGCGAGCAAGAAAATGATTCAACAAAGGTGGAAATAGAAGATGAATCTGATCCTGAGACAGTTCCTGACTCGGTATCATCTCACGGGGACCCACAAACTGCAGAGGAAGAAAATATAGAAAAAGCCTATGATAGCTCTTTGCTTGCACCCTCTGCAAATTCTGATAACAATTTACAAAGCAATGTGTCAAAATATGCACCTAAGAATGCTTTTAAATCTGCAAAAGGTCTATCTACAGTACCAACTAACTCTATAAATGGTAATTCTAAAAATATTAAAGTCCATCCAAAAACAATGTCTGAGTCCTCAGAAGAGGGGGATGATGGACTTCTTGGAGAGGTTAAGCAAGCAGATACAAAGGATGAGGCTTCCAGCAGTAATCAAAGTTTTGGAAGTGATGATGAAGCAGTCCATACTGCAGAGCATGTTGATACCGAAGGCAAGGCTAGTTTAGAGCAAAAGGTGCTGGAAATGGAATCAAAGATTGAGAAACTTCATGAGGAGCTGAGAGAAGTTGCTGCTCTTGAAGTTGCACTCTATTCTGTGGTACCTGAACACGGGAATTCATCGCATAAGGTGCACACACCAGCAAGACGCCTTTCTAGACTCTATATTCATGCTTGTAAATACTGGTCTCAAGACAAACGAGCTACGGTTGCTAGGAATATCGTTTCAGGCCTTGTTCTGGTTTCCAAGTCATGTGGTAATGATGTTCCAAGGTGTGTTTATTGCTTCGCTAGTTTAGATGTGATGTGTTCTTGTTTATATTTCTTGACAATAATTACCTTTTGCCTGATTCTTAATAAGGTTGACATTCTGGCTATCAAATGTTGTTGTTTTGAGAGAAATCATTTCACAAGCATTTGGAAGTTCGTGTAGCTCAAGCTCTATTACGCAAGTACATGAGTCCAATGGAAGAAAAACTTGTGATTGGAAAAATTCTTCTCTAAAGCGGATCAGCAATTCTGGAAGCACACAATTAGAGAAGAATGGTGTGTTGCAATTTATTGAGGATTGGCAAGAATCAAGAACTTTTACAGTTGCCCTGGGGAGAGTTGAGTCCTGGATTTTTTCTCGCATAGTTGAGTCAATATGGTGGCAGGTAATTACTCCAAAAAACAATTTTCATGCTGATGCACTTGCGCATGTTAAACAAATGACAGTAGTACAAGTCCTTTAGGATCAATTTGGAACCCAGGATATACTAGGGAAAGAAAATAGAGCAACATAGAGAAAAAAGTCGGAGGAAAAGAAATATGTCGAATATGGCTAAGATACTCATTTTCTTTTTTATAAGTAAAACCGTGTGATGGCTAAGAAAGATGAATATATTTAGTATAATGTAAAAAAGTTTTAATCCAATTTGACTTTCGTATCAACCATTTTCTTCATTCAAAAACCAAACATTACCTTAGGGTATGTTTGGGATACGAGAAATGCTACGGTAAATGAGTTTGAACACCCATCACATTGAGTTTAAACTTTGAATTACTGTTTCATTATATATCACATTTATTTCCTTTCAAAATTACACTATACTTTCCTCTCTATTGTTGCTATCATTTTCCAAGCTTCAAATGGATATATGTAGTTTGATAAGTGAATGTCCCTCGTATCGTTTGCATCCCAATAAAACCGTGATAAACAAACTTAACATCATAGAGCTATTTTAGACATTTTAAAAACTTTTGGGCTTACAAAGCGACACATTTATTATTAGACTTTGAGAAGCAGCTTTATGATCTTTCCTTTTAATATGGTTCTTTGTTAATGCTGATTTTTATATGTGCAGGCCTTTACTCCAAATATGCAATCTCACATTAATGATCTATCAGCCAAAAAGGCTGTTGGGAAATTATTTGAACCTGCCTTGGGTGACCAACTGCAAGGGCGCTTATCGATCGATCTATGGAAGGATGCTTTTGAAGATGCTTCTAAAAGATTATGTCCTGTTCGCGCTGGTGGACATGAATGTGGCTGCTTGCCTGTTTTGGCAAGAAGGGTATGTATCCTAGTTGCTTTCACTGTTCAATCATTCTTGCAACTCCATTCTACTAACTAATACTCGTACATAATTAATTACTCTTGAGGTCTTCCCAAGTTCTGGGCTTCTTACCTAAAGTCTAAGGAATGTACAGGTTACTTTAGATATTCCGCTTTACTCTCTACCTTTGGTGTTGTCAGGTAATGAAACAATGTGTTGCCAGATTAGATGTGGCTATGTTCAATGCTATTCTCCGTGAGTCAGCTCATGAGATCCCGACTGATCCCGTGTCTGATCCAATAGTTGAGTCAAAGGTTTTGCCTATCCCGGCTGGGGATTTGAGTTTTGGATCTGGCGCTCAGCTAAAGAAATCAGTAAGTGATGCACAACCTTCTATATTCTTAAGCTGTAGGGTATGTTTGGTTCTAGAAAATGTTGGAGAGGTGGTGTGCTAAGAAATTTAAGTTGTTATGCTTCGATATACATTGGCAAATGCAAAGTATAATGAAATGTAATTTAACTTTAAATTTGAAATATATAATTTGATTTAACTTTTAGTTAATACTCCGTAATTTGTGTTTGGAGTAGATGTCTAATAGAAACTATTTTCAGCCAAATTTCCTTCCCCTCCAATTTTACTCCCTATTTTCTTTCCCTTGTATTCTTTGGGTTCCAAACATACCTGTAAGTTTTGAATTTTTTGAAAGAAAAAAGAACATAGATCACCGAATGAGAGCTAGCACACACCTTCCCCAACTCATCAGTGGCAATAGAACTGCTGTCTTTGTTAATGATGTTTCTTAATCTCAGTGTACCTATTTGACAAGCTTCGGCCATCCATTAACCAATTTTGGTCTCCACTTTTATTTTGGTGTTGATAGACTTAATTGTCTTTCAGATTGGCACTTGGTCTAGATGGCTAACAGAATTGTTTGGCATGTCTGTTGATGAATCTGGGGAAGATGCCCTTGGCAACACTGAGAATAGAGGGGGTGGAAATGAACGAAACCACTTCAATCTTCTCAATGCCTTGAGTGACCTACTAATGCTTCCAAAAGACATGCTTATGGATTCAACCATCAGAATGGAGGTAAAAAAATCAAATTCGGAGAAAATTTTCTGAATACTTTGAGCCCATACCATTAAGCATTTTGTCATGTTGGACCTTGACGCTAAATGCTTCTCCAGGTTTGTCCATCAATCCATCTTTCATTGCTCAAGAGAATACTCTGCAATTTCTCACCAGATGAGTTTTGCCCCGACCCTGTCCCTGGTGCCGTGTTAGAAGCAGTCAATGCTGAGGTTTGGTCCTTGCTTCCCTTATCTCAACAATCTTTAATCCAATTAAGTGTCGATTAACTAAATGCATTTTGTTCTCAAATAAATGAGCAACTGACCAAGCAATCTAATTAAGGTAAACATATCAAAATTACCAAATTGTCTACCCATATATGAGTGACAGTTGCTTTTAGTGGTAATATCTAGAAATCAATATGGGTATATTTATCTATTTAAGAATTTGTTTTATTAATAGACAGTTACTAGAGATTGGAGAAAGACTTCCATTTAGCTTAGACCAGCTACCCTGCTCAAGCTCTATATCAAATCCCTTTTTACTTTCTAAGACACTTTGTGAAGAACTATTTAAAATTGGACACTAACAATGCCACTCTTTCTTCAAAAAGTGGCTGGATTGGGATTATGAGGCAACATATTCATTTGCACGGAAAAATACCAACTTTGCCCCCGACCCCATTTTATTCATGCACATACACATGACCATTCTTGTGTCTATGCGTGTCCAAAAAAATAGGGCTGAGGGCATTGTTGAGTAGTATTGCATAGCTCTTATTGCATATCCTTGTCTTTGGTTTCCTACTTCCAGTGCATCATAGAGCGCAGATTATCCACAGAGCCCATGGGCAGCTTTCCTTATCCAGCTGCTCCAGTAGTATACACTCCTCCTTCCTCGGCTGATATTGCAGAAAAGGTTGCAGAGCTCGACCGCAAGTCTCAGTTTTCTCGAACCTCTTCTTCTATACAGAGGAAGGGACACACGAGCGATGAAGAACTCGATGAAATTGGTTATCCTCTTGCATCCATAGTTCCTTACAAGACAACATCACCTACAGCACACTCCCAGAATGGAGACGTTGAAGGTAGGTTAGGACCCAATGTGAGGTATGAACTTCTCCGGGAAGTTTGGCGAGCCACATAGTTGTATACTTCTCTTAAAAAAATCTCAAAATTTTACAGGGAAAAAGGAGTGTTGTTCCCATGGATAGATATATGAGAAAGGTAAAGAACTATTGACTCTCTTTCATATACAAAATTTGCACATTTTGTGCAAATATCTAGTGTATTTTCTTTACCCACATCAGCAGTTTGAATACATTCAATGCATTAAAGGAGGCAGAACTCTACTAAAACTAAGTTTGAATTTTTTTATTCAAGGTTTTAAACATGTCCTGCAATTTCGAGGTATAACCGTATAACAACACAAGAAAAAAAAATGAAGTAAAACACTATGGGTTCCAGTTTTAAGGTTGCTTAACAACAATTGATCAATGCTATGATTAGATGTCAGACCCGAACTTCTCATACTGGTCGAGGTCACACTCTGACCAATAGTTCATCATAGCATCAAAGTTAATGAAGTCGTCAATGTCTGTGGTGTCCATGGGCCCGGGCCCGTTGTTCTCCGGATGAACTTGGGGTTGCCATGATTCCTTGTCTTGACTTGTCGTTGCCCCCGTTGCAGCAACATTTCCAGGTGGGGCTTGGAATTGTTGTGTTCCGGGCCCATAGTTCTCTATTTGAACTTGGGGTTGCCATGATTCCCTGTCTTGACCCATCGTCGCAGTGACATTTCTAGGTGTGGTTTGTAATTGTTGTGGCCCAGGCCTGTAGTTCTGCGTTTGAACTTGGGGTTGCCATGATTCCATGTCTTGACCTATTGTCGCGGTGACATTTCCATGTGGGGCTTGGAATTGTTGTGGCCCGGACCCGTAGTTCTCCGTCTGGACATGGGGTTGCCATGATTCCCTGTCTTGACCTACTGTCGCAGCGACATTTTGAGGTGGGGCCTGGAATTGTTGTGGCCCGGGCACGTAGTTCACCGCCTGGACATGGGGATAGGGTTGCCATGATTCCATGCCTTGATTCCCAGCTGGGGCTTGGAAGTGTTGTCCTGGACCCATCTGAGGTGTGGCCAGTGCCGGACCAGGACCAGTTAAGCATGCGGTGGCAGCCGCCAATATATCGTCCCATGATGACGTGTTGGTTGCCGGGGTGTAAGATGTCTCCGGCAGGCGGCTGCCGCTGGTCTGGTTGTTGAAGTTGGTGCCCACCACCGCCTCGTGCTGCCCTTGCTGCATTCCCACTCCCATCCCAGGTGTGAAGTAAGCATTGGGATTTGGGACTGTTGAGGGTAAAACAGTAACATCATGTAGTGTGTTTTTGGCACCAATTCTAATATTGTTTCGTGTCAAATCACTGTTGGTGTTCTTGTTCTTGTTGGCGTTGGGGTTTAAGTATGGCGTTATTTTCCACTTGGCATTTTCTCCCTGTTTAAAACAATAAAAGAAATAATAATCAAAAGTTATTTGGGAAAGATGCAAAATAACTAACAGAAATGTGTGTACCTTGGAAGGGTCACCCTCATTGGTAATTCGAAACAATATTGTGTTGTCCACCGGTGGGTTCAAGAGTTCATAGGTTAATAAGGGGATGTCATCATGTCTCGACAACAACGACGATGACATCGGGCGTAGCAAGTCTTGCCAAGATGACGACGATGACGATGACATGTGGTTCTGATTTCCAAAGAGAGGTCGATCGTTCTTGGTCCCACCGAACAACGTGGACCCGTAATGTGGCACGCTCGTCCTACTTGACCCGGCATTTCCATCCATTTGAGACCACGAAGATGGATTCGGAAGACTCCCTGAAGCTAAAGAGAAATGGACGAAGTCATGTCCCGGGATCGATTGCATATATATACGATACTCTCTTTGTCCCAAATATCTTTCCCCCTTTAAACTATTATGAAATTTAAGAGAAATGATATAATTAGTGGGATAAGATTGTATGAACTAGTAAAGTAAAAATGCAGAATGACTTTACATAAAAGTTGGAAAGGTTTTATGAGACAAAAAATTGAAAGCTAAAAATCTTTTAAAGACGAAATTATAGGAGTTTCTTTTTATTTATATATTTGTATAAAAAGTGACGAGAATAAATTATGAGTCTAAGACTTGCCAATGAAAGAGCTCATGGAACAAAGATCACACAACTATAAAGTCCCGTTTGGTACATGAAATTCAAACTATGGAATTGGAATTGAAGACTTCAATTCCAATTCTGGTGTTTGGTAGCACAAAAATTATGTGGATTTGGAATTGATAGTGCAAAAAATGAATTAGAATTGGTGAATTCAATTCTATGGAATTAAATCTCAGGATCCGTTTGGTACACAGAATTGATGGAATTGGAATTGAATTGAAACTAAAATTCCATGCGATTCAATTCCATAGAATTGAATTCACCAGTTTCAATTCATTTTTCGCACTACCAATTCCAAATCCACACAATTTTTGTGCTACCAAACACGAGAATTGGAATTGAAGTCTTCAATTCCAATTCCATAGTTTGAATTCCGTGTACCAAACGGGGCCTCATGGAATTTCAATTCCAATTCCATCAATTCCATATACCAAACGGACCCTAATAATGATGAGTTATGAATTTAATTAGAAAATTGGACAAACCGGCGAAGCGCGACGAAGAGGCGGTGGGGGCGGTAATGGAAGTTTTCGCGGTGGCGGTGGAAGTTTTACCACCGCCAAGGCTGGGATACCTCCACTTCTTCTTCAACAATGCATCCTCAATATTGGCAGTTGTGCCTCCCCCCAAGAACTTCTCCCTCTCCCTACAATTTATATATATGCATATTTACCAACCGCTCATCTTTCAATAAAGGTTTCACACAAAGCGTTTCACAAACATATATAGAGACAGTCATTGCCTGTGTGAGGCACACATAATCATCGTATATGTCCGTGAGATTCTTGGTGTCAAACCTCATCGATAAAGTATATATATATATATATATATATATATATATATATATATATATATATATATATATATATATATATGCAATCTGTGCATTATATAAAGGAGACTAACCTAGGAGACGGGAAGTACGGGCTTCGCGTCAAAGCTCTGCAGACGATAAGTAACGCTCAAATTCGATGAAATTCGTATGCTAAAGTGAAGAAGGAAACACTTGCATATATCAATACTCCCTCTGACCCGTCATGATACTTCGTGCAAAAAGTCAAACTATGACTTTCATGGTGTGACGGGCCAGAGGAAGTTGTGTATGTGTGCATGGAGACATGCCTTGCACTCAAAGCTTGATAATGTCCTAAAAGCCCTCCGCTGAAGCATTGGTTTGAGGGAAGTAGGCTTGACGAGGATCCGGGTGTCGTGTTTGGTGGCGATGGTGGTGTCGACGATGACAATAGATATGGTGTTGACGATGATAATAGAGTTGCCTGGTTATTTCTCATTGGCCATCCCATGTCCGTTCTACTCGCAACAAGGGAAAATATATCAATATGAAAACTGGACAAACTTAAATCATCATTACTCTATTACCTCCGCCTCTGAATATGTGTCCAGTTTTGACTTTTTTCAGTCAATCATTTTCAACATTTGACTTGTAATTGAATAGAATATGTATTGTATATTAATTAGATAAAATAATATTTTGAAATTATTTTATATTATAAATCTAATAAAACTATTTTTATAACAATATCTAATACGAGTATCATTTTAATTTAATTTGAAGTCAAAGTTCATCAACTTTGACCGAAAAAGTTAAAATCGGACAAATATACTCCAAGACGGAGAGAGTAGCTACAACTACCTACAAGTAGACACACCATGTAAACAAATGCTCCGTAACACACATCAATTTATGAAATAATTTGTATATAAAATTAGATATAGAAGACATGTCTTTGGATTTTGGAGTATGGTGAAAGTCTATGTAAGTGTGATATATAATAATGTTTTGTCTAGATATATACTCCATCTATTTTAAAAAGCAATTTTCTCCTAATATCTAATATTTTATGCATCTTACAAAATACTTCTATCTAATTTAAATATTCAATTCGGCCAAAATAAGGTTATTATTTACTCTTTCCTAAAAAAATGTTTTTATTTGACTTTATGCTAATTTTGTCATTAATATGGTAAAATATCCTTTTAACATAAATAAAAAAGTGAAATATATATTAATAAAATTATTTTCAAAAATATTTGAGGTGAAAAGATAGTTGTCATAATTTGTTTAAGAGATATTTTTTTTAAATCACGTATTTGGGCAATAAGACAAAACATTATTAGGTTATATTCAATTAATTATTTATTTTAATTTAATTCAAAAATTTATATATTCATTATGATCGAGTATTTTGTATTTAACTTACGATGTTGGACTCTAACAATATCATTTTTTTTCTTTAAAATTTTGCACAAAATATAAAATAATAATGTATGCATTATACTCATATACATAGCTTGATGCACGTAATAATTGTTAAAAGTTACGAGTAAAAAATTCTTATATATAGCTTTTATTTGATCATAAAACATTTACTCCCTCCGTCCCATAAAATATTTCCTGTTTCAAAAAAGGCGCGCCCTTAAAATGAATAACTTTAGTGTTATTTTTTAATTATGACTAATCTATTCTACACATCCCATCCTACTCTTTTATAAAGTAAAAGCAAAATTACAAAATAATACCAAAATTACTCATTTTAAGGGTACGCATTTTTTGAAACATGAAATGTTTTATGGAACAGAGGAAGTATATATTATGGATGCATAAAACTGAATGAGATAAATTTAAAAAGTTTACACGAAAAAAAGTATAGTTTATACTCACAATATAAATATAAAGAAATACGTAATAGATAAAAGAATGAGATTTACCAAAGTTTTTATATATATATATATATATATATATATATATATATATATATATATATATATATATATATATATAGACACACACACATATAAGATATGATATAAAACTAACCTTGGATTGTAAGGTGCGGCGGTGGGACAAATTGGGTTAGTCTTTCGAGCAACCAAACCGTTCTTCGCCTTCTTATTCTTGCATCCGTTGCTACTGTCGTTGTTGTTGTTATCATTTACTGGCAGAACTGGAGGTTCAGGCACCTTGAAAACCGGATCCGGAAGGTTTTCTTGGACTATATTGACATTACTAGAGCAATTGTAATTATTGGGATCACAACTAGAACTATTATTGTTATTACTAGGCAGGTCATTGTTACAAGAAGTGGCACCACCCACCACATCACAATTTTTCGACCCCGTAAACTCTTGTTGCGTTCCCCTAGACACAACATAGTTCAAGGAGTAATCGTCATTCACCGGTTTCTCCATAGTGTTTTCGTTGAAATTATTCTTGTCATTACTGACCGGAACGGTTGACTCTTGATTTAACAATGATTGAGGGTTGGAGTCAACGTCTGCAAAAAGACGATCCAGATAACTCGAGAAATCGGATGGCATGTCTAGATACACGTCATTATTCTGAAGGGTTTCCTGAAATAACGCACTCTCCTTTCCCATACTATTATTAGTGCTATTATTATTATTGATAAAAACATTATTGTTATTAATATTATTATAATTACTACTACTAGTATTAGTATTGATATAATTATCACCCAAATTGCACTCTCCATTTGATAAGAAATTATCAAGATAATCATAATCCAACTCAAGCATTGGGGATTGGTGATTAGGAAATGGGAAACCCGGAAGATTAGGGTTTGATGAAGAAGACGGCTCCATAATGACGTTATTATTTAACCCTTGAATTTGATTATCCATGTCACTTCTTCCTGCAACATCATCGTTAACAACAACAACAAAATCTATCACCCAAAACAATAATTGTTATTTAATGATAAAAAATTTAACATAAAACCCTCTTCTAATTAACTTTTTAAACAACAAATTATGAGTGATTCCATCCATAGATACGCACAGAAAATAATTAATTAAAATAAAGATCGAATCTAAGTAAAAAAAACTTACATGGATCAATGAAGTTTATCATATAAATATGTATATCATCATCATTTTATCTCTACTCAAATTAGAAATGAGAATAGAAATGAAGAATATATTTTGGGTACATACATATATATATTATGAATATTAGTAGATACACTTGGGGCATTTTGGTCACTATGTTAATGCGTACCATAATTTTTTCACGAAAATTCAAAATGAAAATTTAGGAGCCATCTTCTTCATCTTGAATTTTTTCTAAATTTTACTGCCAAATAGGAATTTTTTAACCCGCTTGAAATAATTGAATTGTAGTGTATATTATATACATATATAGAGTCACGCCGGTTGTAAGTTGTAACTCCTAGGTTTAAATTTCACTTGTCAGCAAATTGTTTTTTTTTTAATTTCCGATTATTCTAATTAATTTATTTAATGGCCCGAGCATAGCGTAAATACGGATTCTGATAAAAATAATCATATTTTGTGAAATACTCCGTATATGAATAATCGAATTTCGTGTCTCGAGATACCATGCACAGACCTTCGAAATGAAGGATTTTGAGATCTCCCGACTTTGAGATGTATCAATGCAGTATTTTGATATATTCATCAGCCGTCAGCCAGCCGGCCCCAGCCAACGTCCATCACTGTCACCGCCAACTACCTTCGATTAATAATTAAATCATATATTCAAATCTCACCAGAAAACTAATTTTTAAATTTTAAATTGCATATCATTTCTCTCAGGTTCGAGAACAAGTCTCATACCAAACTTCCAAACTCTAAAGCTCACCAAACGGGCCCTTATTAATGTATTGATCGATAATTTTTAAAAAAAATAGTGTGTACAATTTTGGTTTTGTAAGTAAAATGTTTTAGTAGATCGAGTTGGTCATATTTTTCATGTGTCGCCCTCGTAAACATATCTCGAACGATTTAAGTGTTAAGTTAGGCTAATTATATATTCTCTTCGCTTAAAAAATTTACTTTCAAAATTGAAAAGTAACGATAAAATTACATGTTTCTTAAATTTCATAATTTATTTGTTAGTGTTTGGTTTGTATATATTTTAAATATGCATGTGTTGGACTATTTATATATATTAATTCTTTTAGATTCTAATGTTTATGTGAACTACTGGAACACTAAATGTTCTTCAGATTGTAGTATTTATAGGGCCAATATATATCTGTTAAAATGATCAAAACTTTATTTGTAATTAATATGAGATCTGATAGTATATTTTAGTGTGTTTGACTCATCCATATATTTCAAATCTTCCATTTCAGAAAGAAAGGGTAAATAATTAAATCACCACTATAAATCTATCCTAATACTTGTTTATTGCTCCATTTCACGATTCAAAATGCAATCTAACGATATATATTTTAGATTATCCATTTTTTCAAACTTGATTTGTGCCGTTTAAATCTGACCATATTTATAGTAAAAAGTCAAAATTGAACAAATAATTAAATATTCTGGGACGGATGGACAATGTAGTTTTTACACAAAATTTGGAAAAATTCTAAAACATTATCATTAAACGTCATACTCTCTCCATTCCTAATTTTTCATTTAAAAAAATAAAAATATTTGAAAAACATGTTTGAGATTTGTAAAGTAGATATAAAATTAATAAAAATTACCCAATGTTTGGTTTAAAAAGTATAACGAAAATTTAATTTTTACGTATTGAGAAACAATAATGGTACACAGATATTGTGTTACCAAACATTATATCCCATCCACATGCACTGTATGCAAAAGTTGAAAGGATTGATAGATTATTTGAATGTCTTTAAAATCATATCTCATCATTTTGGTTGGAAATATTGAATTTATTTGAAATTTTCACATACTAAACTCTATTTGAGATCAGAATATATATAGACAATAAGTTTTCAATTCAGATCACCAATGGGAATAAAAAAACATATAAACGTATGCCATATATTTTTTTCCCCCACGTTTAACTAATTTCATTTTGGGAGGTTGGTGGGATTTTTTCCCCCACTTTTAGCATTATAAGTTTATAACATAGAGTATCTCATTTTTTAATAGCTCGAGTAATGATGAGGCAAAAATGGAATGACTCACACTCACGTGAAATATTTTAACCAATAAAAAATAATTTAGTTAATTAGTAGAGTGACACGTCATGCAATGTCAAGTCACTATTTCCATCATTCTTTTCATTTTCTTGCCATATACGTAGTATATTTTAATTACTCGAGTACTAAAAATGATTTTAACTATTTATTTTATCATAAAAATATTATATTTACTTAAAAAAATAAAATTTTTTAAAATATATTTTAATTACTAAAAAACTGTTTTTTATCTACTCTGTATTTTTATTTACCCCTCCGTCTCAAATTAAAATACAATTTTTGGAATTATGATGCAGAACTCCTTTTTTTTAAAAAAAAATCATTTAATTTAGAAATTGGTATAAGAATAAAAAATAAAACATACAAATTAAAAAATTACATCAAAAGTTTTACAAAATTAGAGATGACAATAATATTTTATTTTATCCAATAATCAATGAAAACACGCATATAAACAAAAGTTATCGGAAGGTGAGAGAAAAAAATTGTAATCTATTGTGGGATGGTGGAAGTAAAATAGTTCTACTACCTTAGTAAAAACATTTTTTTCTCACAAATAAAAATTAAAAAGTAAAAAAAAAACCAACAGGTGCGCCTCGCACAAGGCTTGCTTGCATACCATGGAGGAACGACTCTCCCATGCATGGCAAGTGGATGGAATGCAGGTGCCCATGCTCTAAATTGTAAAAAAGACATAATTAATTCATGTTTCTTTTATGGATCGGGCATAAAATAATTATATGTATTGGATCTTGTAAAAAGAAAAAAATCTATTTGTAAAACTAGGAAATATTGTTTTCTTTCTCACTATTTTTTTTGAAATAAAATCATATTTGTAAAACTATTATTCTTTAATATAGTCATGTTATCTTTTGTTTGGTATTCTCTCTCTCTCCTACAAAAGTTCACTTATTGATTTTTTGGTCGACTCGGAACACACTTCGACTATTAATATATTTTTAACAAAATAATTTTTATACAAATTTAATATATTTAAACGTATTTTAAAAGCAAAACAATTAAGTACATTAAACTTACATTATAACTAAATACTTCATCCGTTTTTTAAATAACTAATCATTATGACATTTTAAATTATTCATTAAAAAATAAATAAATATAGACATAACACATGTCTATATTCATTCACCTTTAAATGTGTATAAAAATTCATAATGGTATGCTTTTCAAGAATGGAGGAAGTATAGTTTTTTTAATAATTTGTAATCAAAGTTTAAAATTTTTATAAAGAAAATATTTAAACCTTGAAGTTCTTTAGGGGAGGGAGGCCGGGATTACAACTTTGAATGTAGTTTTAGAATATATTAATTTATTCATTCAAAATTTATACTTCTAGTCATCTAAATTTAGTTAAAAATAAATTGTATCAGAGAATTGTAATTAACACTTAGCAGAGAATTGTAGAAAGAAGATAACAAATGAGGGGATATGCCAACAAAAAAGAAGATAAGGCAACTCTGGCCGGGTAAACTCTTATATACTGTGCAATGGAAGATCGTTCACACAGAAGAAGATACTGCGGGCATGAAGAAGGATTCACAGAGGTTCGTTACTAAGTAAAAAAAAAAACATTCAGAAGAATCGTCTCATAAGAAGGTAGAGAATGAATGAAATTTCTTAAAATGTTTACTATAATAGTTATAATAATAATAATAATAGAATTACTAATAATAATAGCAATATTAATAGAAATAATAATAATAGTAATAATAATATAATAATAATAGTAAGAACAATAATAACTATAATAATAATAATACTAAAAATAATTGTAATAATAATAATAGAAATAATAATAATAATAATAATAATAACAATGATGATGATGTAGTAATAGTAATGATAGTAATAAGGGGCATAGAACTCGATGGGTGAATTACGGCGAAGCAGATTATACGAGAGTTGAGAATTACAAAAAGATTGTGAAGTCAAAGGGGAGCTAGAGAGAGTGGCATACGCAGGGATGGAAATGAGGTATTGAGGTATAGGGGCACTAGCATTACTTGTTTGTTAGGGTTTGATTGATTCTCGACCACTTGTAGGAGGAAGAGTTGTGGGGTGTGTAGGACCATAGGTGCTTGTATGAACAGTGAAGGAATGGGGAAGTCACCGGTGACGCTTTCCCAGACGAGTTGGAGGGCCCACAGAAGAGTTGAGAAATGCAGCCATGGAAACATGAGAGCTGCAATTGTGGTTTGCACAGTGATTGCAGGTCGCGTTGCTCGCTGCTGCAATGGCAATATAGTGAGTGGGGAAGAAGAAGAAGAAGAAGAAGAAGAAGAAGAAGAAGAAGAAGAAGACACTTTAATTTTGTTTCTATGGAGTATATGGATGGATCTGAGAAGCTCATGGTTTTGGATTCAAGAACTATATTCCCATGCTTTGTGGTTTTGCATGAGATTCAAATGATCCATCTCTTACCTCTTTTGATTTATAGGAAACAGAAAAACCTTTGCTTTTCAAGATTTTTTTTGCATGTCACATGTTCTGCAAGATGTGTAATGTGCTTTCTTCAAAAAACAGCTAAAAATTAATACTACAGATCACCTATGAAACCACGCTTCTTGAAGCAAGTTTGTCGCCGATCATTGTAACCTTCCATGAATCCACTTTAAACATGAAGACAGAGAGCTTCTTGGGCACAGCTGCAAATCATCATTACAATGAACAAATGAGAATGAATGGATTATACCTATCTGCAAATCCTGAGGTTCACATGTGAAATGTGGACCTTCTCACACTTTTCATGGGCCGATATGGAGATCTTTTATTATTTTCAAAGACCTCAATTCATCCATGTTATTTATATACTAAGATCCATAAAATGATGGCGGACCTTAAGACCATCGAAGAATTTGCCTATCACGCAATTTTTGTTTGTTTGCAAAGAGTTAAGTTGAAAGAAACAGACTTTCAATGCGAAAAGAGTGACGTAAACCTTTGAATCTATTGTCTTCTGTTATTATTCCGAATGTTTCTGCAGTTTCGCGGATCATGATACCACGCAGTCCAGTATACCCATCTAGCTTGCACTCTGCAACTGAAATAATAAATGGTTTTGCAGCTTTTAAATGTGCACGCCTATATATGAATCATTGTAGGGTACAAATAAAAATAGTAGTGTGTAGATCAACCAAGAATTAGTGCGCCGTGCAAGTCTATATTCAGGAGAGTTTGTGCCAACTGATTTTTTCTGCAAGGCAAATCCAACAAGTCAAAAATAGCAGGAGGAATCAGTAACAATGGAGTAATGAGAAGTTCAGTAACTGGTAAAAAATGCAGCACTATAGAGAAAGTTATAATAAATCGTTACCCAGCACTTCTTATAAGTTTCTGTATGTAGCACTTCCACATTTCATGCATTGGTTTGTAGATCTCATACCTACAAAGTAACCAAAGGGGGTAACGGAATTAGATGAAGCATAGCCAGATTTATGAAAAACATGAAAACGAACTCTTTGTCCAATGTAGTAAATTATCAACCACAATGTCATCAAGGAATCTGTCTCATGAACCTTAGGCCACATTTCAATTGATTGCAGAAAAGTGGTAAAATAATGTGGAGGTGAAAATGGTTAAAAAAAAAGTCACCTCTGCCTATCTTTGTAAGTCTTTAGACACTTTCTTTAAACACTTTGTTCTTTAAGTACCAGTTCCTTTTCACGAAAATCAAGTGTTTGCAGACCGAAGAACGTAACGGATGTGATAAAACTCAAGGTACTATTTTCTTTTCTCCCTATGTATCTTCCTCTCTATTTCCTTTCCAAACAGACCCTAAAACATTAGAGAGCTATCAAACTCAAATCTGGGAAGGATCACTTTGCTACTCAGATCATTCTCATACAATGTAAAGCAATATCTTTCAAAAATCCAATCCAGCAAAGGAGTATACCCCTATGCCCAGCTGGAATCATAATTATAGACTTCGGCAAGAAAGTATGAAACTCACTTATGGAACTCCGGAGGTAAATCGAATGATTTACATTTTTTGTGTTGCTTTAGCGACATATGCCTTTTGGACCGTTTTGACTGACTCTTTAAAGCCCTCAAGGATGCATCATTAGACATGCAACTTTTTGGCACAACATTATCTAGAAGAATATAGTTGTCCATTTTCACACTTCTAGAACCATGAATGTACTTTTTTGCTGAATCGCCATGTTGAAGAAGCTCATGCAGTACATAATCAACTGTGCTTCTATCATTAGCAGCCTAGAGTAACCAAGCACACTTTAAAACTAAGCTCCCGTCAAAGAACATCTCTAGAGGGATGTCCAATGGTTAAATCTAAATTAAGAGGAATGTCACCTCGCCAACCGTCGAAAGAAGATTCATATCAACTGAATGAGAGAGTGGGAGGTATGCCGGGTGATTTGATTCTACATCTGTTACATTATTAGAAGAAAAAACATCTCAGCACATACAAATGATCCCCAAGAAGAAACATTGCTTTTATTAATACCTCAAAGTGAAAAAATAAAAGTTTTGAATTAGGATTGTACCGTGTGATGGGGAATGACCTATAAATGAAACAATCCATGAAAAAAACATGGAATCAAACAAGCATCATATACATAGAAAGATCATTTTTTTCACGAGCTTCAACTAGCAAATAACAGAAAGTCAGAACTCAATCCATATTGAAGAACACATACACACAGTCACACTTTGATGCATAGGTAACAGTCTGCTGCTTCATAGCTCTAGTGCATGCTTAGTAAAAGAATGTGGAAATACTTTATTCTTCATCTCTATAGGCTCAGGAAATCAAATCCCAACATCAGTAATGAATGACACCAAAGTTTTCGATCTTTGTGTATAGTTCATAATTAACCAACTCAACCATGGTTTTCGAACTCGTGAACTTTCTTGGCCTAGAAGGCTATGTTACCATGTCAAAGAACCAATTCAACCCACTAAAGGTTATATGCTCACAAGTCATAACATAATTCTAACATTAAAAAAACTGGGTTTTACTAAATGCGCATTAGGACGCAAAAAAAACCCATAAAATTGTGGGGAAAATGCTGTCCAGATGGAATTTTTATTGATTAAGACACAAAAAGCTAACCTTTCCTAGATGGTGTGTTCGAAGTCTGTGTATTGGAGACAAGCTGTTTCTGATCGATTTTATCAGGAGTTTGATTTCCAATAGGAATGGCGCTAGTATTAGTTTTTTGCTTCTTGGTCTGGAGCTCCTGTTGACGGCGAAGATTGGATTCGGCTTGAGCGAACCTCCGGTCTAACGCCTCCAAAGCCCGTTTCCTTTGTCCTTCGGGTGCTTTTTCCGTCGCCATAGCTAATCTGGGAAAGAAACGCCGCGTTTGGAGGTCGGGACAGTGGCGTTGGTCGGAGATGGCGGAGAAGGGGGGACGCCGCTTGCTTTTGTGGAGATCGACGACGGTCGATGGTCCTGCCTGCCGGCCGGAGACGCCTTGTGTAATTGGGCCTTTAGTTAAATAAATGTATCTGGCCCAAACAGAAACCAATTCACATTATTTTCGGGAATTGATAAATGCACTCCATTATTGTTAACGGTTGGGTTCTACATCCACTGAATTTCAGTGGTTTTCAAAGCTACTGAACAAATTGGAGCACCTACGGTGCCCCGTTTGCAAAATTAATAGTTCCTACCTCCGGCAAACACCCCCACTAAGTTCTGACTCCAACCCACCCCTCCAACCACGTCAATTGTGGGATGCAAGTTTAATTGACTTTGGAGTCAAAATTTTTGACTCCAAAATCAACTAAACTTGCATTCCACAATTGACGTGGTTGGAGGGATGGGTTGGGGTCGGGACTTGGTGGAAGTGTTTGCCGGGGGTAGGAACTATCAATTTTGCAAACGGGGCACCTACAATATGTTCAGTGGCTTCAGAAGTCACTGAAATTCAGTGGCTGTAGAACCCAACGGTATTGTTATGCACTCCACTATTTTGTATTTTTGTTCGAGTAGACATATTTGACCCTTGTGTGAATTGAATTTTTTTGTACAATGGATGTCTTTTTAATTAATTTTGATTCAACCTATTTAGAATCCTTGAAACTAAAGCTCAAAATTTAAGATATGTTATACGACAGAGTATGTTTTATTTTTTGTCTTAGAATTATTATCTCCCTTCGAACAATAATTAAAATCCTATCTCTTTTAAAATAATTTTATTTACAAATGAGTCTAAAAATAAAAAAATGTATTATATATTTCAAAAACATTTCAAGAGTTTTAACAAAATAAAATATTACAAGAATATTTTATTTTATCAAACAATCAATGAAAATATGCAAATAATAAAAAATTATCAAAAGATTAAAATAGTAACTGAGACGTCAGGTGGAGTGGAGTATTAAACTTTGTAAATAAGGACTATTTTATTTGTCACTCCTCTCTTGAAATGTAAAGAATTGAAACGTCAAAAAACTATCGTTATCTGAAACATGATTACATTTTTAACTAAGGGAGTGCCTGGTAAGTTTTTACTTTTTGTATTTTAAAAAGAATTTTTTATGACAGAGACAATTGTGTCATTTCCCAATCCAAAAGAAAAAAATGGTGAATTTCACAAAATTGGATTATTAAATTTATCAATGGACAAAAATTATACTTCCTTTGTCTAACAATAAATTTTCTAGTTAATATTACGATCTCTCGATAACTTTATTTTTGTTTGTATAATTTCATGAATTATTTAATAAGATAAAATACTCTTATCACATTTTGCTTTGTAAAACTTTTGGTGTAATTTTGAACAATATAATTTGTATTTTTTCTTGATATACCAATTTTTTTGATAGAGTGATATAACAATTTTTTATTGAAATTATTTTAAAAAATATGACATTTTTCAAAAATGGAAAATTTATTTTTGAAATATATAATTCAAATATTTAAAGAGTGAATGATACTTTAATTTGAGAAAACAAATAAATGTGTCGAACTAAAAAAAGATATAGAGTATAAGATACTAAAATTCAATTGAATAGGGGCAAACTGGTATACTCCAACAAAAATGTAAAAGGGTGGAGTGCATTTAACAAGAGTGGAGTGTATTTATCAATTGCCATTATTTTCTCTTGTGTGAATCTCAATAATAGATTTTATACTAGTATTTTGTAAATGCTATGAAAGTTAAGGTAGGAACTAGGAAGTTTAATTTGAGATGAAAAACTACTCGTAGAGGATGTTTAAGAGTGATTAACTTATGGATAAAATAATTTCTACAAAAGCTAAAAGCAGAAGCACTTCATATATGCTTCTTCGAAACGGTGTTCTATGTACAAAATAGTGGTGGTGAAAAGTAGAAGCTGACATGCCAAATAGAGTAAAATCACTTCTACTCAAAGCTGAAACTAAATTATTAAAAACATCACACTACCAAACACTCTCTAAGAAGAAGAGTCTAATTAACACTTCCAATGCGTTTATAGCTAAAATGATTATTATTTACTCAGTATCAAATAATACCAGCACACTATATCAAAATATAAGAGATTTTATTTTAAAATTAATTGTACTGGGTATATGTATAAATATGATGTTATTTTATATCAGTGTTATCAATGGCGCAAATGGCGCGCCCCATAGATGTGCCTTTGACGATCTGCGCCATAAAGAGATGGAAACGCCACAAACTGAGCAGTGGCAGTCAATTGACTCGTGGCAACGTCAAATCTGCGCCATCGCCATTCTTGCGCCATTTTTTTATTTTACCCAATCCAAATCCAATAAATTAGTCACAATAAAGAAATCAAACCTTTAATTAGTAGTCTCTAGCGCAAAGTGAACCACCAGGCCTTAATCGTCCTCTTCTTCGTCCTCATAGGAGGGCATCGTAACACCGAGAAATGTCCTGTGGTTTCGGAGGAGTTGAAGGCAGGGCTCCAAGACTTGGTTTTGAAAGTGGCACATTCCAGCCATGTCAAATATTCGAGGGCAAAGGTAGTATAAATGAGCTACCAAGACATTGGCCGTGTTTGGAAAACAGCATTTGGGATAGCTTTTGGCATCTTTGACTGACTTTGGCTTTTTTGACCAAGCGGACCGCCAAAACCATTGTTTGGCTAATGGCTTTTTCACTTGGCATTTTGATCCGAAAAGCCAAAATCTAAAATGCTAAGGTGAGTAGCATTTGGACATGGCGGTTAGGAAAAATATTTTTTTAAAAATCATTTTTGTTGAAAGATATTTTATAATATATGTAAAAAATAAAAATAAAAGTTAAAAAAATTAAATACGAAAAAATAAAATGAAATTAAAAAAAATTATATTTATAATTTATTATGAATTAAATGAAATTAAAATTTAATATTCCATATAGTAAAGATTTAATTTTTACATGTAAAAAAATGAAAAATAAATATCATGTCTACACACACACATACAGACACACACACACACACCCACATATAATTTTTTATTTAATTTTTTAATTTAAAAAATATATATTTATGATATGATATTTAAAAAAATTATAAAATAAAATATACCATAAATGGAGGGATGTCCTTTTATGTAATTTTATTTACAAACAGTTAACTATAAATAGCTAAAGTTGCCAAACACTTAAAATTTAACTGCTAACAGAAACAGCCGGTCAAAACAGCTAACTCAATCAGCCATTCAAATCAGCTAACATAAACAGCCAACTGTCAACTGCTAGTATCCAAACAAGGCCAATGTTTATGTTAGCTGTTTGAATGGCTGATTGAGTTAGCTGTTTTGACCGAATGTTTCTGTTAGCCGTTAAATATTATGTCATTATCCAGCCATGTCCACTCCGATCCCCATCCGTTGGACTCCGTATGTGGCCCATTTCTGCAAGGCATCGCCCCCCTTCGGCCCATTTACCCCGACCTCTTATTCATTAAAATGGCGGGAAAAGCCCCAAATGTGGCGGGAACGGTTCAATCGTCGTCTTCCCTCGTCAGAGGTAAAACCCTGAGGCAGGGCATAATATCTGCATAGAGAGCCACTGGTTTCCGTACGGTTTGAGTGCTGCGCGGCGTTTCTGATCGTAGCGATGGGCAGGAGAAAGAAGAGCCGTAGAGTGTCGGAAGAGGACTTGGAGGAGGAGGAAGAAGAAGAAGTCGAAGAACCCGGTCGTTCTCAGGAAACCGGCCAAGCTTCATCTTCATCTAATGAGAAGAGTCTCTACGAGGTACACTCACTCACCCAGATGCTTTCTCCATTCTTAATTTCAATTTCGATTTCACTTTCTGTATGTGTTTGCGTGCAATTCGTTTCATGCCCTAATTTTGCACTTGGATTTACCCATTTTTGGGGTCTTCTTATATTTTGTTTGATCTTGGGCAAAATTGTACGGTATAGAACACTTATTCATGATTAACAAAATACTCGTTTCACATATTTCTTTATTTTATGTGCATCTGTCCATAATTTAGTTGAAATGAGTACTGTGTTACTCGTTAATTTACATTTTCTAATGTAATGAGCATTATGTAGTTCTCAGATGAGCTTACATCTTGATGTACGGTATAGGGACTCATGATTATTTTGGCATCATCTTTTTGAATGAAAAGTTGGGGTGAAAACAATGACATTTGTTACTAATAACCGAAATGCAGACATTTTTGTGGTAGGGACCTTTTTGAGCTCTTGGCTTACATTGTTTTAGTGTATTGAACTATGGTGCTGTACTTGATTTTAGATAGTAACACTAATGTACTTATTACACTGGTTAAATTTGTAACTTCTAATGAATAAATTGTTGGTTGTAGATACTGGGTGTGGAAAGAACAGCAACTCAACAGGAGATCAAGAAAGCATACTACAAGTTGGCTTTGAGACTACATCCTGATAAGAATCCTGACAATGAGGTAAAAGCCAATCATCACATTATGTTAAGTCTTGCTGGTGATACTGAAGCTCTGATGTGAGGGCTGAATATAATCCCTCTTGTTTAGGAAGCCAAGGAGAAATTCCAGCAGTTGCAAAAGGTGATGTCAATTCTTGGAGATGAGGAGAAAAGAGCAGTTTATGATCAAACTGGGTGTGTTGATGATGCTGTAAGTGATTTCGTGGAGCTGCTACATTTGAAGCTTCTTTTAATTCATTTGAAATTTACTAGTAATTTATATGTTCTGTAAAACTGGAGAGTGTTAACATTTCACTATTTATTTACATCTGACATTCTTAATGCTGAAATACTGGCTATTTGTCATTAGTAAACTATACTTCTATGATACTGATGCTAGGATAAGTTTAGTTAGACAATAATGTGCCATGTCATCATCAGTTCTTCCCTTTACCAATTTTAATATGCTAAATACACTTAATACTGTGCCTAGGTATAGGGTTGTAATTTAGCAAGTATGAACCAAGTTAAGCTATCTTCGTAATCATTCATTTGTTAAATGAATGAATAATAGTCTACCCAAGAACTGAATTTAAAATTTGTGTTCATTTCTGTTCATTTCTTGTTGAGGAACAGTTTCTAATAACTTTAGCGACTTTGTTTGTGATCAATATTAAATTGAAGAAACTAACGCCAGTTTTCACATCATTGAAACATTTAAGTTCTGTTTTACAAATGACAAGTCATAATTAGATATATAAAATTAGACATGATCACATATCGACCTGTTCATGAACACCCTCATGCAAGTTTTAATCAAGGTTGTTTATGAACAAGCTTACTAAACACAAACCAAGTTGTTCACACAAGCTTTTATCAAATGAGTTTTTCATTATTCAAACCCTGTTTGTTTAAATCAAAAGGGCACATTGCTAAGTCTTACTTTTGACCATTTCTTGGGCATAAAATGCAGCGATGCATTGAAGGTTTAGTTGGAATAACCTCTGTGTTTTAACATGGTTGAGGTTACATGCTTCTTGAACCNCTGACCCCAACGGAGTTGAGATTCTATTGGGGTTGTTGTATTGTGAGGGTTCAAAGAATCTTTTTTTATTATATTGTTTGAGGAAGGGTGCCTAGCATATGTGTGTTTAGATTTTCCTTTTGAGATATTTTGTGTAGTTATGTAAATGCATCTCTTTATTTACAGGATCTTGCGGGGGATGTTGTCCGGAACCTAAAGGAATTTTTCCAGTCCATGTACAAAAAGGTTATATTCTTCATTTTGCAGGCAAAATATAAATGGTCTCCTATATCGTTCTATGACATGCATTCATTTTGTTTGTAGGTCACTGAGGCTGACATTGAAGAGTTTGAAGCAAATTATAGGGGCTCTGATTCAGAGAAGAAAGATTTGATTGATCTATACACTAAATGCAAGGGTCACATGAATAGGTACCCTAGAAGAGCATTTCCTCTGAAAAAATATCACTCCACTTAATTTTTTTCCTCATTTGCCCTCACTTTTTATCCACTTGAAACTTTGAAGTGATACCGATTTTCTTTTCATTAAATGTGCAGGTTGTTCTGCTCAATGCTTTGCTCAGACCCAAAATTGGATTCACATCGCTTTAAAGATGTTCTTGATGAGGCAATAGCAGCAGGTGAGGTTTTCTTGTTTTGGTTAAGGTTTGTGAGCAAAAGATACTGATCTTGGTCATGCATTGAATTAATGGAAACACTAAATTGAACTCATGTTTTATTTTTTTAAATGGATTTAGTGTGAACTAAATTCATTTGCTCCATTCATGACAGCCACCCCAATTAGTTGAGGTTTCAGTTAACCTTGCACATAGGCACTACTAATCTGGTTATGCTGTGGACTATGTGTTTAGATAAAGTACATAGTGTTTTTACATTTGGCTTCATCATAAGTTTTCTTTTTTTATGCCTAACCTTAAGCTGTATATAGATATATAAATTCATTCAAACTTTGGCCACTGAAATTCTACGTTAGCAATCAAACAGTTGTAATATTGGATGAGATATAGTCCCAGAATTTAGAAGATATCATTGAACTCTAAGGGTATGTTTGGATCCTAGAAAGTACCAGGGAATTGAAAAGAAATGCCCACTTATATTTGTGTGTTTAGTTTAACTTTAAAAGCAATACAAAATATGGCAAACATTTTACAAGAAAAAATAGGTGTTTAGATTTCTTAGGGTCTGTGTTTATTTTTGCAATCAAGTGTTGTCCAATAGGTCTCTCTGGTATATAAACTATCACTGTAACACTTTGTTTTACGTGTTGAATGACCAAAAGAATTAATTTAAACATAAAGAAATATTAAAATATATACTCTGTATGTCATAAAATATAATCTTAACATTCTAAAAAGTATACAGTAAGCATCAATATGGTGTTGCTTAACGTGAAAGGAGGAGCCCAAGTTGCATACTGTGAAAAGATGTGCATATGTTGCTTAATGTGGAAGGAGGTGCATATGTTGCTTAAGTACTAAACAAATGAGGGTAAAAGAAAAACTTAAAGAGGATTATTATAAAAAAGATGCGTTATATATCAAAAAAATTGTTGAACATCAAGTTTTAATATTTTATCCTGCATTATCTTTCCTTCAAAATTTCCTCCCTATTTTCTCTTCCAAGTTTTCACTGCTCCAAACTGACCCTAAACAGGTCAACAACAAAATAAAATCCCACAAAAAAGTAAGATCTGCTGAGGGGGGTGTATTTAGTATTTACGCAAAACTTACTCCTACTTTGAAGTAGAGAAACCCCTAAGTAGGTCACAAAACATGAAATCTTTGTACTGGTGCTTCATTTGGACCATTTGGCATTGTATTGTAATGCATTGATTTTTACTCATTGACTTCATTGGCTTCATCCTTTGCATATTATAGGTGACTTGAAGTCAACCAAAGTGTACGAGAAGTGGGCTAAGAAAGTATCTGAAACAAAACCACCCACAAGTCCTCTTAGGAGGAAGAAGTGAGTCTTTTCAAAAACTGTCTTGTTAAATTACTATGTTAAAGTCTGAATATGTTATATGATATGAGATATGTGGAACACTGCACAGACCCAAGAAAGAATCTGAAGATTTGTACGCAATAATAGCTCAGCGGCAGAGCGAGAGGAAAGGGAAGATGAATTCTCTGTTCTCGTCCCTTGTCAATAAATATGGCGGGGACCAGTCTGCCCCCGAGCCTAGTGAAGAGGAGTTTGAAGCTGCCAGACAAAAACTTGAGAAGAAGAAGAAGAAGAAATCCAAGCTGAAGTAGAGAGGCTAGTTTCTGTCTGTGCCTTATTATTGAACTGAATGGTTGGTTTTGTGAGTGTGCTTTGAAATTCTGTAAATTTCAATTGCTGATTGTGACATTTTTTATTATTAATATTACATTCCGTTATTGACAAAACCCACCCTCCAATATTAACATACTAATATTTATATCATATTTAAGTTATATAACTTTACTTCTTTTTTTTGAAAACGTATAACTTTACATTACTTTTATGGACGTTGCATAATAATTTTCATTTTTTTATGAAATGATTTTGTGATTCAAATTATCTTTCTAACATGTGTATAGGGTATTAAATTTTTGAAAAACGAATGAGGAATTAGATAGGAGACATAGACTTTAATAAAGAGATTTGTGGTAAAGTAAAAGATGGAAATCATGCATGGATGCTAAAGGTAAATGGATGTTCAAAGTTTAAAATTTTGTTTTGAGTGGCGTGTTTGAATTCACATTCCATTTGGTAAAATTTATTCCATTTACAAAGACTTCTCTTTCTTTTAGAAAAAGTTTTAAGGGTAAAAATATCTTTGATATAATAAATGGGGTGTGAATTAAGCAATAATCTTTCATCTTTTTTGTTTAAATGAAATGCAAAAGGTGTATGAATGGTAAGACTTGTACACAAATGTAATGGGAAAGGTGTGTGCGTGTTTTTTTTTCTTAAAAATGAAAGGGAAGAAAAGTATGTTGTCGCATCCGACGCACTTGAAACCACCATTTTGTCGTTTGGACACTGTGTTCGAATTGTGAGAAAATAAAATTTCAATTTAGACGTTCTTAGAGTCTTAGAACACATGTTCTACATTTCATATGCATCATATTATAAAATGATTTGGAGACTTTTTATTTTTATCATCCATCCGACCCTAAAAACTTTTACAGTTTGACTTTTTTTATCAATTTGAATTTACAACGCACCTTGACCATATAGGAAGAATTTTGCTTTAATTTTATGCTACCTAATTTTTCTTGAAAAATGCTGGAGTCACAAACATATAGTTCACAAACTTCACAAACTTGCTTTTTCTAGATTTTAAATTAAAACATCTTTTATTATTTGAGTGCATCTTATTTCTAGGAAAGTGTTAAAAAGGTAAGTTTGTAAATTTTGTGAACGATTTATTTGTGACTCTAGCATTACTCATTTTTCTTTCATTCCAAATAAGACCTCCAACCCAAATAGTGCATTTGAGGTTTCTATTGTCTTTTAGCATGTGACCGCGTAACTGTTTTTGCAAATTTCCTTTTTTGAAAATTCTAATCAAACACAGCACACCAAAAAACAGGAGGAGAAAAAAATAAAAAGACTTTTCTGCGTTGGACAAAATCACCATCTAGATTCTAGACATTTCCAGTTGGACAATTAGAACATGTAACAAATATTTTTCTGTCACCCCACAAATATTTTTCTGTCACCCCAGTAGATATTTTGATGTTTGATTGTGATTATTTTTATTAATTCAATATAATTAAGCATACAACATTTTAGCAATAACAATAATCCCACGAAAGTAGGACCTGAGAACGGTGAGTGTACACAGAAATATACTCCATCCGTCCTATAATGATCTTTCCAGAGCACTATTCTAATTTCACGGGAATTTATATTTATTTGTATTTTTTCATAGCCTATATGATAAAATAAAATATTCTTGTCACCACTTGTTTTGTTGAACTTTTGATGTAGTTTTTAAATATGTATGTTTTACTTTTTTATTTCTATACTAATATTTAAATAAAATAGATTGAAAAAACTTGGGATTTTTCTTCATTTTGCGAACCGGGAAGATCATTATAGGACGGAGGGAGTAATTAAATATAAATGTAAGTTTAAAAATAGATTTTATGCTTTTAGGAACTATATCAAAAGTTTTACACAAAATAAGAAATGACATGATTGTATTAGTTTATCAAATGATCATTAGACAAATTATATATTAGAGTATGTAAATAATGAGGATATAGTTTGACGATATTATAAGTAATGTCAAAAATTTAAAAACAACAGAGTGATTATTACTTAGAGAGATCTAGGATTAAAACATTTTTCATATATTGAAATAGGACGGTACAGGGGCTCCCAAATTAGAAGTCACAAGTTCAATCCATAGTGAGGTGTGTAATTCTCCGTTGTTTAATAGATTGATAATGTATGAACAGATATAACTTCATAATAAAGTTATTAGTGTTTTAGAAAAACTTATAATGTCAAACAATAAAATACTCTAAAGTGTCCACACACATTGCCAAGTTGTGGACGCTTCACCGTGAGAACACTCCTATTTAAGTCTTTATTTGTTACTTTATTCGATTTGTCTAGATTTAGTTGTTTACTTTCTTGTTTTGTTTCATTTTGAACTCATCTTCTTAAAAATAAGGCTTTTAAAAGAGTCGATAACTAATTCCGAATGAAATACTCTGTAATTATTATTAGTCCTTCCATCTAATTATGTTTTTTTTTCAAAAATAAGAAAAAATAAAAGACTTAATTTGAAATGTTTTAATTACTCAAGGGGCATACGTGAAAACATAATCCAGTATTGTGGGAAAATTAGTTTGGAACTCATGTGTGCCGCGGTCTTAGGCAATATTCTCTTCACCTGATCTGATTGTAATAAGTTTTGATCTGATCTCGTCTAATCTTATCAGAATGTAGTTATATTTAAAGTTATTTCTGATCAGATTCTAATAAGAATACTTAGTCTGGCACAATAAAATTATATGGCTTCTCACGCGAGTTAATCTTTCACTTTCTCAATTTAGGTACACAGTGAATTAGAGATCAAAATATGATTTAACATTCCAAAATAGTTTTGTTGAGGATTCTTTGGCTCTATTTTAAAAAGACAAAATCAATTTAAGTACACAATAAATTCTAATGACGTTTTAGGCATTTTGAAATTTCCTTTTTTGTATAGCTTTTTTTTTGCATGTTTCAATTTTTCCAATTCATTTTTCCATAAATTTTTTATTCTGGATATTTTTTGAACTTACCCAAAAGAATTTCTAGAAAACAAAAGGTGAAAGTGTTTAATTTTACATAGATGGAGTAATGTTAATTTTTTAAATTTTAAATCAAACATAAATAATTTTGAATTTATGAAAACTATTAGGAAGTATAATTAAATTAGGATACTTCTTTCCTTTCCTACTAGGATTATTCTTTCCTTTCCTACTTGTACTTTGATTACTCTTGTATTCCCTATATATAGGGTCATATCTCTCAATATTCAATAAGGCAAGTTATTATCAACTTGTATCATGGTATCGGAGCTAAGGCTCTCAAAAACCTAGCCTCTCTTTTTTTTTTCCGACCGCCGCCCACCATGGCAGCCCCGTCGGATCCTTTGGCGTCCTTACCCTCCGGAGTAAAACTTTTACTTCGGAGTCTCCACAACTTAATCCCAGAAAAACTCACCGAAACAAATTATCCGGCATGGTCTCTCAATGTCCAGACAGCTCTTTCAGCTAATCTCCTCCTTGGATGGATTGATGGTCATGAAGCAGCCCCG